TTTAAAAATGCCATGTAGAAACCTACTACTTGTAGAAGCTTCCTAAAATGTATACATATATAAAAGGAATTTAAATTTTGTTACCCTCTAAGAAGAGAACATCCTCCAAATACCATAGTCTATTAAAAAAAAAAAAAAGCCCAATACAAGTATAAATTATCACTTTACAAGTTCTTGATTAATATGGTCTCTTAGGCCTACCCCCATAATCGCTCTTGGTTATTATCCTTCAGAACTTGAAAGGAAGGCCCTGTTGCCAAAGACAATATGTACTTGAGTCATAGGAAGGACATGGAGAAATCACGCTGGTACCAGCCTGGAAGATTCATTTCTCCTGGCCAGCTTTCATAATGCTGTAAGGTTCTATGCATACCACTGTGAACTTTGTGAACTACAGTAATAACTGGCCTGGTAAGATATGCCTTATTGGCGTAAGTATTATGGAGCAACCAACCACTTTCTGAGCAGATTTAATGCCTGTTCCACAAGACAAAACTCTTGTCTGTTACCATTACCTGGCCCAAAACTCCATGACTGGCTATAACAAGGGCCCTAGGGGAGAACCCAGTTTGATTATTGTGCAGTAGACATAGTAATAAGCTGCCCCCTATGTTCTTATTTTTCAATCCATACACTGCTGCAGCTCTCAGTCTTCATTTTGCAGTAGATGACAATACTCAGACCTACAACTAGAAAATATGCAGAGAGTAAGAGACATCTACGGCACATCCCTCCCCACAGGACTCACGGCAAAAAGAATGTAAGAGCCAGAGGTTGTGGGTGTCTTCAACAACAGGGACATTGTACACATGAACTCAAAGCAGCTGTCATAGCATGCTCAAGACCTGCACAGGATGAGGACAGTCATAATCTCAGCAGGGCTAGGAAAGGGCTCATGAAGTCCCATCTCTAGATGAGGAGATATTGGCAATTGATGGCTACTGGGGGAGGGAGTCTCAGTTTTCTTTTAAAAATGTGGCCCCGAGAGGCTACCCATAATTCAACAGATGGCCTACACCCCTGCCCATACAGACAGCACTAAGTAGACTCAGAGACAGTCAGATCTCTGTGAGTTCAAGGCCAACCTGGACAACAAAGCCCAGGATAGCCAAGGCTGCACAAAGAAACCCTGTCTTGAAAAAGCGAACCAAACCAAACCAAAAAAGAATAACAGGTAAAAGTGCCTGTTGCACATGTATTTAAAATTGTTAAAATGAGATTTTGAAGGTATTTATTTGAGGAAAACCCCTTTTATGTGGTCTGTCATCTATCTCAGGGTATTAGATCACCCTGCAAATTTACAAATGCAAAATTTTCTCTTCTCTCCTAGCACCTAGAAAAATGCATGTGTTAGCAGGTGCACATTAAACACTCAACGAGCCAACGAATTAACATGTTTGAGAGTTCAGCACTTTTTCTGCCAGTCAATGTCTTAATACCCCTCCCCATTCCTGTACCACTCTGATGAACAGCTAGTCATAAGAACAACTGTTATCTCAAAGATCTCTTCCCTCCCTTCTCTATTTTAGTAATGTTCCAGTTATTTGCTAGTCTTCCTCTTCATGTTAGTTGTTTGCTTGCATATGCGTGTACCAGGAAATTAGTCATCTTCTCTAATAAAAGAAAAAATCATTGCCCTTTGGGGTTGGTAGTGGGATAACAGAAGCCATAATTGAGAAAGGAAGAAAAGTATCCACCTAAAGTTCCAAGCATGAGATTGAAGCAGCCTGTCTTTGGCCTGTGGTTCCTCATAAAGCAGCCTAGGCTTGGTAGAGCCACCTCTCTCCTCACTATTAAACACAGTTTCTGGAAATCCTGAGTCCAAAGAAATGGTGAAAAGACAGCCTCACTTTGTAAACAGCTTTCCAATTTCTGATTCGGTACAAAAATCTACTCATGCGGTCATGCCCAGATGAATGACACTGGAAATGATCTTCCCCTCTTCCTCAGATTTCTTTTCTGTACATGATCTCATTCTTTAGCTTAGCAAGATGTCTCTATCAGAAACTTGCAGGCGTTTTAATTACGTTTCTCACTGCTGTGACAAACAACAGGCAAAAGAAAGTTAAAGCGAAGGTTTAATTTAGGTCAGTTTGAGAAGGCCCAGAGCATGGTGTTGGGAAGAGGACAACTGTAAAGGGGTTCTCTAGCTGTGGTGGCAGGAACATGAGAAAGCTGCTCACCTTACATCCAAGCCAGGGAGCAGAAAGATGAAAAGGGACAATCAGCTCTTTTTCTTTTGCTTTCTTCAGTCTAGGACCCCATCCTGTGGGATGGCTCTACTGACAATCGGTCATTCCTTCTGGAGCTAAACCTCTTTAGCTGGAATCCTCACCTCCATCCCCCGAAGTGTGTCAGTCTCGGGTGAGTCTAAATGCTGTCAAGTTGGCCATGGAGCTCAAACATTACACATAATATATGAAACATCCTCATTAAAAGGTTCATGGCTGCCAGGCATGGTGGTGTATGCCTGTAATCCCAGCTCTCCGGGAAGCAGAGGCAGGCAGGTCTTTGTGAGTTCAAGGCTGGCCTAGTCTACAAAACAGGTCCAGGACAGCCAAGGCTACCCCCACACACACACACACACAAAGTTTCATGGCTGTGTTGCCATATCTAACCTAGATAGGTACTCTTCCCAAACACACAGAAAATGTATTTGTGTTTTTATTCCAGCTTCAAGTTCAGTGTCTGATAAATAAGTTGACACTTAGTGGCTGGCTTTTTCTTTAAAACATTCATGACTCATTCCACAAAAAATAAGATCCTAAGACAGCCACAAGTTTGACTTAAATCTGCAGAGAACCAGTATATACTTTTACTTTTCAGTCCTGAGGACTGAACCCCAGGCTTCAGTCCTGCAAGTCAAGTGACTTAGGAAAATACAACCGATGCCCTCAGTATAAAAAAATCAGAAGATAAAATATAAAAACGAACAAAAGAACACGATACCCACAAATGATAGCAAACAAATTAAAAGAGACAACACAGTCTAATGATTTTAGATCTGATCTAACTTTCCTCTTTATATGGAACTATTTTAGGAGTCAAGATAACAGTCTAAAGTTTGGGGGTGGGAGGTTATAGAATAAGATCATCTCCCATTTAAGAAAAACAAAGCACAGTTACGAATGTGGTTAAGTCAATGCTTAATAGTCAAGCACAGATGCATTTCCTGTTAAAGGAATTGAAATGGAGGTGCTTGAAACAAGAGCCACCCTTCCTAGAAAAATGTTCCTCTGCATTTTCCAGGGGTTAGAAAATTGTTCTCATTGTGAAAATCTCAGCAAAGCAAACAGGAAATAAAGTTCTGTTTGTGGAAAGCCCAGGAAACAAAAGTCACTGCACAATCTGCCTGCCAATGAAGATTCTCGGGTGATGGGAATATTGTGTGCCAGTGACCTGACCAAATTTCTAGATGTACAGTATTTCCCCCGACAAGTTCTATAGGCTTTCATGCTATGTAAAGTAGATCCAGATTCTAGTTCATACAAATTTCCAGAAGCTGCATCTTCGAATTCTTTTAAAATCTCTTTTGAGCTGATGTATCACAAACCAGGTTATGATCACGGCAGTATGTGTGCTTTTTCCCAAAGAGAAGTCCTCACTCAGGCCAACAAATCCAAGGCTGCTCCAACAGTTTGAGGTCCGGGTATTCTGGCAAAGCTTTGGCTTCACAGTGTCACACTCTCCTTGCTTTTCCTTTTTCAAGTGCTTACTAAGCGTCCGAAACACTTTGGAGGGCACCACAAGGCAAAGACATGCTTGATCCTCTCCAAGCTTATTCTCTGGTGAGTACCAGGTGCTTATCTGCTCCACAGCCCATAGCACCTGTCGTTAGCACGTGTGTTGGTTACTTTGGTAAGTGCTGTGACACTATGCCTGTCAGAAGCATCTTAAGAGGCTTTGCTTTGGTTTGTGATCTAAGAATGAATAATTCATCATTGCAGTGAAAGCATAATGAATTCATACTGTATGTGGATGGGACTCCTTATATCACGGAACACTGGCACTCACCTGGCCAGTGTCGCCCTTTTTATTCAGCCTGGGATGGCAATGCATGGGGTAGTGTCACCCACAATCAAGGTGAGTGCTCCCTACTTGGTTAACGCTCTCTGGAAATGGAGTCTAAATCCATTTGACAATGAAGATTAATCATGATGGCATGGGACATATGAAGCCATAGTGTTCTTGGTGAGCCTAGAGATAATCCCCAGTACTTGGTTCTGAATCACAAACAAAAAGCCATCTAAGACAGAAAGTCTGGCCTTTGGAATGGGCTCGTAGAAGAAGCAAAAAATATTGACAAAACACATGTGCAACAGACAGTTTAGAAACATATTCATGAGATGCACTCTCCTTTAACAACCCTTAACACCACGTTTCTGAGACCTAGGAATGAGGTGAAATGTAGGGATGGGGTGCGATCACAGGATCACAGTGGATTCGTGATGGTGGAAAATGGAGACTGGGGTGCTTAAAGGTCATTTCAATTAGAAATCTCTTGAGACCCTCATCAATTATTTCAAGGGTTCTAGTCTCAAATATACCCCTTTCTTCTACAAACTTCTGAAAAAGATGAACGCCACCACCAACACCAAAATTCTACAACTTAGATTTTTCTCCAAATAATGGACAAAGATTTATAAACTAAAGTTTCAACAAAACTGAGCAGGACTTCCTATCCAAGTGGGAAAGCATGGTGGCTAAACATTGCAGGAAGTCTTAGAGAGAGGGAAGCTGAAGAGGGTTCTCAGCAGTTAAGAGAGCTCGCTGTTCTTGCAGAGGCCCGAGTTCAGTTCCCAGCACCCATGTAGGGCAGTTCACAACTACCTGTAACTCCAGCTCCAGGGCACCTGATGCCTTTTTTTGAACTCCCATTCCATGGGTACTGTACTTGTGTGTGTCTCACACACACACAAAAGAACACACTTAAAAAATAAAAATAAAATCTGAAAAGAATTCTTAAAAAAGACTTTTTATTCATACATAGGAATTGGTCCATGATACCCAACATTAACCTGTTCTTTAAAGAATCCTAGAGCTACTATTGCAAGCCCTGTTTTACAGATGGGAAAATACATTTTTAGTTTTTTTCATATATTTCAATTAATACACACTGATTGTACATTATTAGTGGGCTCTTGTGTGCTATGGGAAAGAACTTTTGTGATTCAAGAATTCCATCAAATTCTCATGGAAACTTGCAGTTTTACACAGAAAACCTAAGGCTGCTACCATACTTGGCTTATTATTTCAATAAGCAAGATCATAGAAACACCGTAATTTCAGAAAAAAAAAAAAAAAAAGTGTTCTGTTTATTTCATTAGGCCATTCGGTGTCTATTAACTGGGGTGCTTAAAGGTCATTTCAATTAGAAATCTCTTGAGACCCTCATCAATTATTTCAAGGGTTCTAGTCTCAAATATACCCCTTTCTTCTACAAATTTCTGAAAAAGATGAACGCCACCACCAACACCAAAATAATGTGCCTTGCTTGCTAGAAGCACCCGGCCATTCCTACTCAACAGTCTGAGAAATGTTTCATGCAAAGTGCTGTAATAATCTGGATTATAAATGGTTTCTGAAGTGAGAATGAGGTCATATTTCACAAACAGTTTTTCACTTAATACAAGCTTACAAAATTCAGACCACTCCCCAGAGAATAACCGGCATTTACGTATTTCTTGGGCTACTTTTGACTTCCTTTGTCTTTTCTCATCTGGCTCATTTACACCATTACTGTCATCCTGTAGAGGGAAGTTAGCAACTACATTAGGTAAGGTAACTTCATCAATCACCAAACTGTTATAATCTTGAAAATGAACTTCTCCAGCTCCTTCTTTCAATGCAGTTATTCCAAGCAATCCGGATCCACAGCCAAGATCCAACACTTTTTGTCCAGCAAATTTCAAGTTGCCCTTTGTGAAATAAGCCAGGAGATCAAAGGTACATTCCCAGATTTTTAAGCCTCCTTCATAAACACCTGGAATCAGATCAGAATGCGAAGAAAAGCTTTCTGAAACTATGTTTTCTCCGGGGAATTTCTCTTTCAACAAGATGGTTTTCACTACTTTTGTGTTAACATGCTGGGGACCAGGCAACCTTTCCATAACTTTATTTTCTAAGACTTGATTAAAATCTTGAGACATAGCATGTTCTTTAGCAGCTCTCAAGGAGGGCTGTTTTTCACAGGCTTCTGGGTCACCTGACCTGTCAGTTGTCCTAAGTGGGCTGTCAGTGTCTTCAGAGGAAGCTGCATTTCCCAGTGAGGAGCAGTCCCACAAGCAATCCGCAGGCACACCCGACAGTTCTGTAGAAGACTTTCTGTCCTGCTTTCCGTTTTGACTTTTTGGGACTGATGACGAATCCAGGGTCAAAGTTCCATCATCAAGGGGTGCTACTTTATTTTCCAGATCTTCTTCTATACTGAAATTGAATTGAAAGGCCATCCTCTTATTCTATCCACACACTTATCGAAAATGATGCTTCAGCTTCTAGATAGAATTTAATGGCATAACTAATCACGCAGCCAATTAGTTCTGTCAAGCTAAGTCTTCTAGCTGCTTATACACCACTGGATGTATTTTGAGAGGCTTTCAAAGATTTTTCAGAAGCCTTTGCTCCTCTTCCAATTCAGCCCTGGAAGGGAAAAGGAAAAAAAAGAAAACGATTTAAAAAAATAGCTGTGTGTGTTCGTGTGATTTAGGAAAATACACCAATGCCTAAGTATTCAAAATCAGAAGATAAAATATAAAAACAAACAAAAGAACAGCTATAGCGCAACCATCTTCACCAGAACAATACAAAGCCCAAGAATTTTAGACAGGACAGCCTAGCTACTTGGTGTCTTTTAACTGTCTTGTGCCCTGGCATGTTTACCCCTAAAATTCCAACACTTCTTCATCTCTGTCTGTTAATCTGCCTCCCAGGACAGTTTAAGGTCTTATTTGGGTAAGCAGGGCATCCATTTTCAGACAGGCACGGGTGTGATCTGGTGTGTGCAAACTCATCCAAAGGGCATATCTACCTGGCGTTCTAAACGTCACGTGATTGGAGGAATGACTAGGGCCTGGGACTCTGGAAGTATAATCCATTGTATAGAGAGTCAATTTCTCACTGTGCAGGACTCTCTATAGCACACGTTTTGCCTCGCACGTTTCTGGAAGGTGAGGTCTTTGCTAACTGGGCAGCCGCTGTGTACGAAGGGAAGCATTCGCGCCAGGAAAATCATCCTACTTTCAAACGCGCCGCGCGGAGGGGCTGAGAGTCATTTCCGGCTGCAGATGCTGGTCACGCGTCGTCTCAAAGTCACCTGGGACCGAGGGTAACGCACCTGAGGACTTCTGGTCTCCGCACTCTAACATCACACGTGGGGGTGAAGGAAGCCCGCCGTGTCCGGAACCCGGGCGGAGGCCGCCTTCGGCTCGCGGTGCACACCATCGAGTGAGTCCTCCACCGGCTAGAGAAGTCTGCGGCGCTGGGGAGGCGGCGCCTCCTCTCTATGGTTTGTTGTGGGCGGAGCGCTCTCAAAGCCTGTCGGGACGGCGTGGCCTCCGCTCTAAATTGTGGCGGGAGTCGAGAGGTTTGTCCGTGTGTGTCGCTGGAAGGATGTCGCGGGGCGATGCGGCGGCGGCGAGCAGGCTCGTGCTGGAGGAGCTCCACAGCTGGCCGGAGGAGACGTGCCGTCGGGAGCTGCCTGCGGTGCTGCCCCAGCTCCTCATATCCTTGGAGGGTGCTGAGGGGCGTGTCGCGAGCCTTCCCGGCTGCCCCACGAAGGCGGGCGGCCTGCGGCTGGGGCGGGCTCCCACCTTTCCTAAGTGTGAGATGTCAGGCCCGAGCTCCACGGCTGGCGCTGGTGCTTAGGTGTCTGGATGAAGTGTGAGAAGTGAGGGATGTAGTTGTAGTTGTTCTGTGATGCATAACTTCAGAGGATGATATGTAAACAAAAAAAGGTTTCCCGTTTTGAACCTCTATTATCCTTTGAGTTAGCGTTGCTTCAGGTGTTGGCTTTAATTGGATTGGGATTGCGTGTTGTCAGGTCCAAACGATAATTAACTTTGATGGTTGTAATTGGAAGTTGACCTCCTTCATGTGAAAATGTGGTTTTAATTTTATGTCTTTGCGCCCTCCTATATAAAACTACACAGAAACACACTCCTCCAAAGTCAAAAGGCTGCTACCTTCTTGGGAGTTCATACCCTGCACAAAAGATGTTTCACAGTCTGTATGAATTAAGTATTTTGTAAAAAAATCACATTGAAGTCATTCCTTAGACCTTAGCAAAATCCAACGTGGTACTAATGACTTTATAATTTTTTTTTTTTTTTTTATAGACCTTGTGTGGATAGGGAATTATTTTGCGTTTTAGGGTCTTGCAGTATAGCCCTGGCTGGCCTGGTACTAGCTACACAAAACAAGCTAGTCTTGAGTTTACAGCAATCCCATGTCTGTCCCGTTGTAGTTTTATGTGAGCCACCTGGAAGGGCTCTCTTCATGGAACTTCCTCCTGGAAGCAGCTATTTTCCTACTCAAAGATGTTAATTTATGTAATGTGTGTTTGGTTTAATGCTAGGCTTAGAGGAAATGAAGATACACTTTTTCCCCCCCTCAGTCTTAACGTCATCCTCACAACATTCAGAGTGCCATTCCTACATTACCTTGCTACCTACTGAAAACTCAGATCATATTTCCAGGTTTTCTTCTGTAAGTAAACCTTGAATATTCTTTTTTAACCAGCAGATTGTTATTTCTCATTCTAAATTACTCCATGAATCTACCTGTCCCCACTGTGATTCAGTCTTTGCAACATAGACTAAATATTTTTCTTGTTTCTACACAGTTCTTCTGTAATCCATTTCTTACAAAGTTTAGACTGAAAGACAGAACTCAATTTTTTTTCCTCCTTCACTGTACCTATGTGGCTTGATTTTAAGGATTCAATCTGAACTTGTCTTCAAGGTTCCTCATAGTTTGAACCTGGTCCATCCTTCTTACCTAACTAGCTACACTCAGTTCACAGATACATCGAGCTGACCTTCAGAATCTTTGTTCTCAGCCTAATTTGTTCTCTAGCCTTTTCAAGATCTCATTCTGGTCTTTCTCAGTTACTTCCGTAAGGAGCCTTTTTCATAGTTCTCAATCTTAGGTAGTTCCCTAACACCTAACTTTAGGGTCTTGATTGCTATGATAAAACACCATGACCAAAATCATCTTGGTGAGAAAGGGTTTATTTTAGCTGGCAGGTCTATAGCACAGGTCATCATCAAAGGAAGTCAGGACAGGAACTCAAGGAGAGCAGAGACTATGGTGGAGGCTTGCTCAGTCTTTGTTATAGCACCCAAGACCACCAGCCCAGTGAATACTGGCCAAAGTGATCTGGGCTCTTCCACCACGTCAATAATCAATGAAGAAAGTGCACTACAAATCAATTGAGCAAAGCTCATACGAACTCACAGACGGAAGCAGCAAACACAGGGCTGCCTGCATGGGTCTTCATCAAGTTCTGTATACATTATAGCTTCCAGCCTAGTATTTTTATGAGACTCCCAAGTTTGTGAACAAGTGGGTCTGATTATTATGCTTTCTCTTTGGCTCTTTTCCTTTCATTGCTTTGCCCTGTTCAACTTTGATGGCTTTTATTTTAAAATTTTGTGTTTTGTTACTCTTGGAAACTTGTTCTTTAATTCTAAAGAGAGGCAGAAAGGGAGTGGATCCTGATGGAAGGGGTGATGGTGAGGAACTATGAGGAGTAGAGGGAAGGAAAACTGTGATTAGGATATATTGTATGAGAAAAAAATCTATTCCCCCTCTGCCCCCAAGACAGGGTTTCTCTGTGTAGCATTGGCTGTTCTGAACTCCTTTTATAGAACAGGCTGGCCTGGAATTCACAGAGATTTGCCTGCCTCTGCCTCTCTGAGTGCTGTCATTAAAGTCATGCCTCACAAAACCTGGCTAAAACAAAACAAAAACTTTTCAATAAGGGGGCGGGGCAGGGTGGGGCGGGGTGGGGCATTACAGACTTGCCTATAGGCAAATCTTATGGAGGCATTTTCTCATTGAGAGTCCCTTCCAAATGACTCTAACTTGTGTCACTTTGACTTAAAACTGGCCATCACACTATTACACTTATGATATTTATGATATTTACAGATTTTGGTTTTTTGAGACAGGGTTTCTCTGTGTAGCCTTGGCTGTCTTGGACTCACACAGAGGCTGGCATGGGAACCACAGAGATCTCCCTACCTCCCCAAGTGCTGGGACTGCAGGGGTGCACCACCAACTCAGTGTTTGTAGTTTTCTGAAGACCATTTGATCCTTAAAACAACTTATTTTCCCCTACCCTACTTATCCTCACTGCATTGTCAAGTACAGAGGCAGGTATTTGGTTTTGTTAACTGTTTTATCCTCACCACTGAGAATAGTAAATGCCACATATGTGTTCAATAAAAATGCCTAGGCATCTCAAATAAGTAGTTTTTTTTTAGCATGCTATTATTTACTTTCATTCTGTATAACAAATGGAAGAAAAGTGGAATAGATCACAAGCTTATCACCTTCCACAATTTGTTTCATAGTTTTCATTTTTATATATTGTCCAGTCTTTACCTGAATATTTGCATGCTCATAACCTAATATTAATTGTGAAGTAGCAAGCTTTCTGAATTTAAACTGGAAATGTTCCAGTTGACATATTCTACCCTCTTGAACTTAAAAAAATTTGGGCTACTTCATTTTGGTTGCAGTTATAAAATATGCAAAATAAAAGTTCAGAAGAGGGATTTTTGTGATAGTTACGGATACCCAGTTTCTTGACATTGGACAAGGGTTCTTAACTGCTTTTACAATAAAATATTTCTAGCAATTCTCAGTGATGTGCAAGCATAGTTTTTACTGTGTTTATTATCAACTCTTGTACTGAATATATAACTTAGTTGTAACAGTTTGCAAGCTCCTGCCACATGCAGAAGATCTCAGCCGGGTAAGGCTGGTAAGGTTGGTATGTAAGTAACATGAAGAGTAAGGCAGATTCGAAGGGGTAGAGGTGCCAAGGAGTGTTTCCTGAGCCGGAGCTCGGGGTTATGGCAGGGCTCTCTTCCGTCAGCCATATTCTTTCACGGCTATACTGAGGTGGGAAGTTCCTTATCTCTAAGTAATTTTGAAATTTCTTCTTTAAAATATTTTCACAAAACCTTTGTTCACCTGATAAATGTTAAGTTTTCAAAGGTAAAAGAAAGCCAGGGATTTGGGTATAATTTCAGTTTCCTAGGGAAATTTATTGGTAAATTTTGAGTACCCCTTTTGAATTTATTCCTTAATTATATTTTACTTTATGTATCAGCATTCTGAAAGTTGGATTGAACACATTCGTAAGTAAAATTATTTTGTGTGTGTGATCTGTATATGTCAGTAGACAAGACTTTGCAGATTTATATCCCTTCAGCTGTAATTTTTTTATTGTAGCTTCAGCAACTTCCAGTTACATAAGAACCCAATCCTTCCAACTGTAGTGTTTTTAAGTTTTAAATTTCCATTTTTGATGAGGTATAAGCACACTAAAAATTTCAATGTTATGCTGTGATGGGACCAAGATAGAATGCCATTTCAGTCTGTTACCACTTTCAGCCTCAACATTGTTAGTGCCATTTAGAAAATACTCTTGAGTTAGGAAAAGCTCCTTCTGTAGACTCCAGATGATGACAAATTTGCCGTTTTGGAAAATTTTTCCTCTCATTTTCATCAGTTTTCATAAGACTTCCTTATAAGAAATCTGAGGTTTTCTGATGTCCATGCATGCTGGGACACACGTGTGCCTGCACTCACACATACAAATGTGTACACAGGCAAATCACTTTTAGAGAAAAGTTATGATGGGAACTGTGATTTCATTCCTTGCATTTCTGTCAGCCAGCTATGAGTCATTGTGTAGTCCTGTTTATTGAACTGTTAAAATTGGACTTTTTAGCATTTTGGAACTTAGGTTTTTAAAAATTTATCTTGGTGGTAGTAGATCCTGTTGAGTAGGTGTGTCCACACTCATTTAACTCATGTAGCTTGTTTTCAGTTGCTGTTTTTGCTCTTGTTTTTCTTCCTGTTTTTTTTTTTTTTTTTTTTTTTTTCAGTTATACTTTTTACAATGAAATGCCAAATAGTTTCTCTGTGGAATATGGGATTGAATCCTGCAAACTTTAGGGTGATATTACTTACATATTCTCATATTTGATTAAGGGCAGCAACTTATTGACTGACATGATATGATATTTTTACATATTTTGCTTTATAGGAATTTTAAAAATCATTGTTGAAATGTTTTTGCCTCATATAAACCACCTGACACTGGAACAGTCTTTCTTTTCCCAAGTTTTCCCAAAGGTACAGTTTTAATGTTAATTTACATATTACAGAGTTGTTAACATGCTCTCAACTTTATGTAATCTAGTCCTAATTTTCTTAATTTTCTTATTTTTCTAATATATCGAACATCATACTTGAGTGCAAATAAATAGTAAAAATAGTTCAGCTTTTGGACTAATTCGAGATATTTGTTGTAGACTAGGGGTATGATACAACTGAGCTTTTTGTATATAAAGCTGTTCTGTAGTATAGCAGCTCATTGTGGAGTTTGGGACAGGATAACTGAGTAGCTACATAAATCTAGATGCATGCTGTGATTATTTGTGAGGTCATTACTTTAAAGTGATTTTTATGTGTAAAAAGTTAAACTAGTGAAAATACAAGTGAGTACAGCCTGGCAAGGTTGCACACACCTTTAATCCCAGCATTTGGAAGGCAGAGGCAGGCAGAGCACTGAGTTCAAGGCCAGCCTGGTCTACATAGAGAGTTCTAGAACAGCCAGGGCTACATAAGAAACCCTGTCTCAAAAAAAGACCAAAACAAACAAAATACATGAGTACGAATTGAAAGATTCAGTGTAAGTTGATAGCCACTACCAAGAAATGCCCCTGTGAATGCCACAGGAGAGTTTAAGGTCGTTGTCTTTTAGTGTGCAGAGTAGTGCTTGAGTTTGTTACCCCCAGTTGGACTTTGAATAAGTTCTTTTTCTATTTACATTACTAAATACATTTGACACCACAGAAATGAAAAGCTCAGCAAGGCTCAAGGCTTTGTTTAAGGACTCTATTGTCGAAATACTTTTTATTTTTACTTTTAAATTTGGAATAGTAACTGACAGTGGCTAGGTGTTACTAAGGAGTAAACAGATCATTCTGTTGTCTTTATTTTTCCAGTGATTTCTCTGATTCCTGTTTATAAGCTGATTTGTTTTCACAGACTATAAAATTGTTTGATGGCATGATAAGTGAATTAATTCGTGAAGCCAGAGAACTCTCAAGCCAAACTTTAGAAATCCAGGTCATCCTACGGAATATTTTACAAGTAAGTGTATTAGAAAAAGAATGGAGCTAGGTGTGGTAACATGCCTAAGGCAGGAGAAGCTTGAGTTCAAGAGAAGACTGGGTTATATCATGAGATCCCCTTTTTTTTGATTTTTTGTTTTGTTTTGTTTTTGCAGCAGGGTGGTAGGTGCCTCATGTCCCCATCTTGTACTTGGAGGTTGAAGCTGAAAGATTACTGTGAGTTGAGTCCAGTCAGGGTTAGAGAGTGAAATCTTGTCTTCAAGAAACAAAACAAACCATTTATTTTTTATGGAATGGCATAATGCAAAATTATTTATGGACTTAAATAATATAGAAAAATTCTGCATTTTTAATATAATTTTATGTTAGATATCTTAGAAGCCATCAAGATGGCACCCTGAACTGGGTTATGATTCTAAGTGATGCTCTGATAGAGTGAAGTTCACCGAAAAGAGAGAGGCACAGAATGTTTTCTCACTGCTGTAGGTCCAGCACTCAGAATGCTGTGTAACTCCTTTGCTTCATATAGACAAGTGTATCTTTAATCAACTTTCCCTTATTTCCAGACGATGGTGCAGCTATTAGGAGGCCTTGCAGGATGTGTTCATCATGTCTGTGCCACACAGGACTCTGTCGTTTTAGAACATATTCATAGTCTTCCCTCATCTATCCTGCATGTAGTTAAAAGTACATTTGAACACTGTAAGGTGAGTAATGGGTCTATGCAGAGTATAGCCTGAAATCAGTAGGTGGAAGGACTTAATAAGTGTGTGTGTGCATAAGAGTTTACATTTTAGTTGATGTGACTGGGATGGGCTTTTCTATGGAGAGAGGAGACACGGTAGTTTCACAAGTGACTAAAAGTGGCTTTTTGAATTGCATTTGCTTTTCCTAAAGAAGAAAAAATGGTAAAGATTTGTGGTTAGCCATAGGAATCTTGAAATTGTTTCATTAGACAGTACAGGGAGTTGCTTAGTTCATGTTAACATTCCTGACGCAGCTTTAAAGCAGAAAAGATGGCTTAGAATTTGTAGGGCACAGGCAGTTTTGTTATCAGTGTTGTGTTGCGTAAAGGACAAATTTCTCATTAACTAGATTTGTGCGTGGTGATAGGGTGCAAAAATGTGTGCTTCATATGCTTGAGCATCTGTCAAAGTGCATTTAATAAGTGTGATTCTGTCAAAACCTTAAATTTGTGATCTCAGTCTGACGGTATGGGTTAAAGCACATTTGAGTTATGATGTGTCTGTGACGTACCTGTTTCTCTCCTTTTTATATGTTGTGACCAGAATAGCGAGTCCGTGTACACTGGACGCCTACACCTAGTGTCAGACCTTCTCAAGGTTCTTTTCAAGGAGGCCTATTCTCTCCAGAAGCAGCTCATGACACTGCTGGACATGGTGTACCTGGGCCCTTCAGTAGATGAGAATAACATTTTGAGGATGGTAGAAGGTGAGCAAAGAGTTTTTGATTAGAATAGGATGCTAAGTGGCTATTGTTCATTAAAACTAATGTTTCTTTTGATGCATGCTCTCTGCTTATGTGTAAAGATCTAACTCTAACTAGGTAAGTTTTCAGTTTTTTAAATTTGTAAAATTTAGTTTTTATGCTTAATATCCAGGTTAAATATATAGTAGGTAATTTCCACACAAAAGTTTTAACAGATAAAGGATGTTTGTAACTTTATATCTTTTAAGCTACTCTATATTCTTTTTTAATTAAATTTTTATTTTTTTTATTAATTACAGTTAATTCATTTTGTATCCCAGCTGTAGACACCTCCTTCATTCCCTCCTAATCCCACCCTCTCTCCCTCATCTCCTCCCTGCCCCGCTCCAAGTCCACTGATAGGGGAGGTCCTCTTCCTCTTCCATCTGACCCTAGTCTATCAGGTCTCATCAGGACTGGCTGCATTGTCTTTCTCTGTGGCCTGGCAAGGCTGCTCCTCCCTCAGGGGGAGGTGATCAAAGAGCCAACCACTGAATTCATGTCAAGCAGCTTTTAGATTTATTCCTTAACCCATGGGGGGGGGGGGGTAGGGATGGAGAAAGGTATAGGGGGAGTTAAAATTCCTTTCTGGAATTTTATGCATGTGTGTGTGGGCTTCTGGATGTGTACATGTACACCCAGACACATTTATTACAAGAAATACCCATTTTACATGTATTACTTTCTGTTTTTTATTTCCCCAGGGGAATTAAGCCCAAGGCCTTGCACATACTATTTTACTCTGCAGACTTGCTAATTTAATTAGCCAGGTGTGTTGGATGCTTAGGCCTGCACAGCACTTGGGAAGCTGAAACAGGAGGGCTTGTAAGTTCAAGGTGAACCTTGAGCCTCATAGTAAAGCCCTATCTCACCGACACAACACAAAACAGATCTAGAATTTTAAAAATAATTCTCTAATATAGGAGAACAAAGATTATATTTTTTTAAGAAAATATTTAAATATTTATTGCCGTTAAGTTACAGATCTGAATTACACACTCTGGAAAACACTAGTACTTTTACCATTGGAAATTATGTATGGACATGTGACCAACTGAGAAAATATACTGTACTCATTAAAGAAAAAGTCAAGAATTTTGAGTACTTAAGTGCTTGTAGTTATAAAATTTTGTTCCCTTAAGATTTTTTTATTACACAAATCCAAATAGATAGTATACACATTGCTACAGATTGCTATAGATAAAAGCATCAGTCAACATTAAGTTGGTTGCATATTTTGAACAACTTGATGAAGACAAATTTTAGCATTGATAAGGCAGCAGAGAGTTGGTTTAGGGATTCTTGGCTACTCTGTAATGTTAGCATGGTTATTAAACACAGCACTTCATGTTTTCCTCTCAGCAGGACTATGCTGCTCAGAGCTGTGGCTTGGCAGCAGTGGCTGAGGCACTGCCCCTTTCACGACCTGGTCCTTGCACTGCTACGCAGACGCCCGCTTACTTGTCTCATGTAGATAAGCCGTCCTCCCTGAAAGAGCCTAGCTGCTTCATTTGTTGCATGGCATGCAAACAGAAGCCAGTTTTGAGGCTGTACCTTGTAGGCAAATCTCATGAATGTCAAAGAATAGCAACAGGGGGCTAAAGTCGACCACCCACCAATATCTCTGCAGATTTCTTCATATTGATAACAGCAATGAGGAGACCCCAGTTGGCAACTGGGCCCCAGAAGTGCATACTCAGAGCTAGTCCTTGAAGTCCTTACTTAGGATATACATAGTCCACAGCTTTGTGCACCAGAGCTCCAGCCATGGCCGTGCTGTTCACGGCCATGAACAGATGACACCAGAGTTGGCCCAGCTGAGGCCCTTGGCACTCTAGCCCAGGCAAGATTATATTGTATAGTGTAAAGAAAATAGGTTCATTGTGATGCATTCAAGTACCTTTTGCTTTGTAAACCTAAAAAACACGTTGGTTTAAAATAATGTTTATTCACAATTTTATGTGCTTGCAGCTTAGGCTGGTATTATGTATAGTAATTTTCTGTGCAACTGGCTCATTCCTGCATTTGCAACTAAGGATTTCACTCACCTCTGGCTGTTTGCAGAGGCAGAACTGGTGAGAAAGTCATGTGCATTTTAAACCAGACTCAGTCACCAGTATGGCTTTAGGGTTTCCAAAAATAGCCAGGGAGGACAAGTCCCAGTACACCAGATCTTTGGTTGCTTTGCTTTGATTATTGTTTCTTTTATCAGGTCAAGTTATAAGTCTATTCCTGGAGGCACTCTGGCTGCAGGAGGGTTAGTTGGGGCCATTTTTATAAATTATCTAGCACAACCAGAATAAAAATCTTAATGAATGTAAGTGGTTGCAGTTCTTCGTAGGTTTTCTTAGCAGTGCCATTTTTTAAAAATTAAAATTGAATATATAGATTATTTCAAGTATAATAGGACATAACTTTATTCCACTGAATATTTTATAATAGGATATAACTCTTATTCCACTAAATTCACTCAGTTTTAATTGTCAGTATTTCGACTTTGCAGTTTATAGCTGAAACCTTAAAAGTATGACATTTCTTTTTAGTAATTACTTGACCCAGTTCTTTTCTTTTTCTTTCTTTCTTTCTCTTTCTTTCTCCCCATCTCCTTACCTCCTCCCTCCCTCCCTCTTTCCCTCTCTCTCTCTCTTTCGGTGTTGTGAGATAGGGTTTCTCTGTGTAGCCTTGGCTGTCTGTGCTCACTTTGTAGACCAGACTGCCCCTGACCTCACAGAACTCTGCCTGCCTCTGCAGAATCCCAAGTGCTGGGATTATAGGCATGTACCACCATGCCTAGCTGACACAGTTATTTTCAAACTAGTACATAATTAACTTAGTCAAGTATTGAGATGTTCTCTTGATCCATTTAAATATAAGAGAATGTTATCTCATATAACATTTAATTATCCTGAGAGTTGTTTTATCCTTTTTTTGTAGTTATTCATGCATTTTTGGATATCTGCTCTGTTATCTCCAGTTTGGACCAAGCATTTCATGCCAATACTTGGAAGTTTGTAATTAAGTAAGTTGGTTAGATTTTCTTTTTCATACTGCATTTTCTGTGTCTTAAATTCTAAATAGTTAATGGTTTTTAGATTACCTTTGAAATATTTTATGTAGTTGTAAAGACTACTCATTGTATAGACTACTCTGCTGCATGGTAATCCAGATATTGTACATGTTGCTTCCAAACCAAACTGAACGCCTCTGTGTAGTTATCTCTTAAAAACAAATATTCCCCCCCCCTAGAGTTGTAGCTACTTAACTGGTAGTTCTGAAATAATGGACCATGAGCCAGCGTATTCCTGAATCATACACCTGCTGTTAGTGTTGTTGGATAATTACCAGTATCAAATATGGCGTGTCTAAGCTCAGAAATTAGTAACTAACTTTGGAGCTGACAGTAATCTCTTTGTTATATATAGTTAGGTTGCTCAACCCTAATTTTATTTATGAAATAATTTGAACCTAACTTAAAGCCTTGTCAGGGATAATAGGGCGAGTGCCTATAGCAGTTGTTAGATGCTGAGGGGTGATACATTTAAAACTGAAATTGGATCATGTCGTTCAACTTTTTAAGCACTCCCACTGTTCAGAGTAACAACTTGAGCCTTTCTGGACACTTCACCAGCCCCTCTGAAGCAGCTTGCTTTCTGCTCTCAGTCCTTCGAACTCATCAAGTTCACTGGTCCTAGGCCTCTGCAAAGGCTGTTCCTCTCTCCTGCTTGTTCTTAGTCCCAAGGTGCAGCATTAACATTCTTATAACATTTTTCCATAGTACATAGGACTTTCTCAGCTTAGCATTTATCACAATTAATTATTATGTTCTTACAGTTATTTAACTTTATGTTAGGCCATATATTTCATATAGGTGGGGCAAAAATTATGTCCATTTGATTTATTTTTTTATCTTCCAAGACCTAGCAGATTGCTTGACAAGTAGGTTCAATTAATATTTTACAAAGACGGAATTTTAGCCGCTAACTTTAAAGTTGACACGTCTTAATTATACCACGTTTAGTTTTAGATTGTGTTTTGAAAATGTTTTATGCGGTGATGTTTTGCGGGCCTGAGTTATTTGATGTGGTTACTTCTCACATCTGCTGACTTTATTCATCTGTTTTTACTCATCTAGGCAGAGCCTCAAACACCAGTTGGTGATAAGGAACCAGTTGAAACACAAAGAGATAATTTCTAGCTTGTGTGGAGACATTATTTTTTCCTTTCATTCTTGTTTGCAGTTAGCTGAACAGATGGCACAGCCGGCTGTACAGGTAAAATGTAGTGGGACGACACTGCAAAGGGAGTCGTTACCTAGACAGTTAGTTATTGAAGCTTATTTGAACATGTAGAGTACAGTTTAGGGTTTTAATTATTTTCCTTGAAAAATTTTGCAGAATTATTTACACCTCATAATTACTTTTTGCCCAGAACACTGTATTGTAGCAACTCCTCTCATTTCCTATGGCATGTGCCTGCCTGTTATCTCTACAGTCTTAGTAGCTGGTCAGAGTGTTCTCCTCAGAAACTGTTGTTCTTTCCTGTCCTGTGCAGTTGCTGTTTCTGTGTTACATTTATTTAAGGTCTCCTGATTTATACGGTTTCAACCTCCTGTCACCAGTGCACCACAACTTTTAACAGTATGTGTGTGTGTGTGTGTGTGTGTGTGTGTGTGTGTGTGTGTGTGTCTTTATTCTTCTAAAATTGACAGGTAGATTTCTGTTGATTTCAAGAAGTTACAGTGTCAAATTACCATCTTTATGAAATAAGACTGTTCTAAACAGGTAGGATAGGGTTGTTGGAATTTACAGCTCATCTTCCTATAAAGTATTATGCGCAGGATGTAGTGGCCCACCCCTGTAACCCCAACACTTGGGGAGGCAGAGACAGGTGAATCACTGAGTTCAAAGCCAGCCTGGCCTACAAATTGAGTTCAGGACAGTCAAGGCTACACAGAGAAACCCTGTCTTGAAAAAAAACAAAACAAAAGTATGTACAGTGACTTTTAGACTAACTCAAAATTTATTTAAATATCCCTGAGTTACAGGATTAATGAATCCAGGAACTAATATGTAACTTTATGGGAAGACAAGTTGAATATTTCTTCCTCAAATGGCAGTAATACAACTCCTCTTCTTGAGAACTGCAACTGACAGAAAATTTCTTTTTGTATGTGTTGTTCCCCATTCCAGCCTTGAGGGTAAAGGGTAGAAGTTTAATTGAAGTTCCCAGACTGATGCAGCTATTGCTAGAACAGGGATAATCTGAAAGGACAGATCTCAGAGAAATGTACAACTTTGATAAGGAGTTCTGAAACACACAAAAGTGAAGGATAGTTGTAGGAAGAGGTTCACTTTTTTTGTTTATCTTTTTTTTTTCTTCCTCCTTTTAGATGCCTTCATTCCTTCTTTTTGTTTTCTCACTTCCTGGTTTCCTTTCTATTTCTCAGGACCTTGCAGATAGGAGAGCTCACTTGTTGAGGATCCTGCATTAATGTCACAGAACTTGTTCCCTTCTTCACTTAGCATATAGACCAGTGGTGTTTCTCAACCTGTGGGTCAAATGACCCTTTCACAGGGGTTGCCTAAGACCATTGGAAAACATAGATATTTACATTATGATTTATAACAGTAGCAAAGTTACAGTTATGAAGTAATAACAAAAATTATTTTCTGGTTGGTGGTCACCAAAACATGAACTGTATTAAGGGTCACAACATTAGGAAGGTTGAGAACCACTGAGGTAGCTCTGTCTTCACTCTTTAATTTCTTTTCAGTTTCCTTTTTGCTTGATGCCACAGACTCAAGAGTAAAATTAGGTCTCTGGCCAGGAGATAGGGAAAACCCAAAGAATAGTATAGCCTGTAGTAGTGGCAACCTGCAAGAAAGCCTGGTTCCTAGATAGAGTAGCTACAAGTATATATATATTGTTTGTATGAAAATGAGGGAATTAAATTGAAATTTTCTCAACCAAATTCTCACGTTTTGACTTAGCTATGCAAATTTTGGGCTAAGGTCAGCTGGTCAGCTCCATTCAGTAAATGAATGAGTTCTTGGATACCTTCTGTGTCTCTAGTCTTCTCACTGACTATAGCAGTGCCCTCTGCTGTTCACTGTTGGCATTTAGGAAGTTTTCCCGAGCAGCAGTCATCTTGTAGTCCTCTACTTCCCTTCTACAACACGATGCCTGAGACTAAGTCAGTTGGGGATAACAGCAGTCCATTCTCACAGTTCTCAACTCAGGCAAGTTCCAGATCAAGTCATAGCCGGTGTATGGTGAGGACTTCTCAGTTTACAAATGTGACCTTGCTGCATTCTCATGTGGTGAAAGGGCCAAGACCCCCCTCCTCCCTCTCTGTTTATAAGGACATTCAGCTCAATTATGAGATTATCACTTCCTCAGAGGCCCTAACCCTTGATACTGAGTATGCACTGAGTATGTGCTTCCAGCATTGGTGGGCATGGCACCAACCTTCAGATCACTGCCCTGCTCTTTTGAAGTGTCACGGTAACACCAGTGAATTTAATTGTAAGTATAGGATGTAAATATAGAAGTCTTTGTTTCCTGGAGCTGCCATTAAACAAAACACCAGAAAATTAATCTCTTCACCTTCTAGAGGCATTGGTAACATGGCCACGTTCTACTGATAGTGCTGGCAGACCTTGGCGTTCCTCACTGTAAGCTGCAGATTCCAGTCTCTGTGTCCGTCTTCACATGATACACTTCGCCGTGCATCCCCATCTTAAGACACCAGCTGTGAGGGTCAGGGTGCCCCTAGCTCAGTCGTGGCCTAGATTTACCTATGCCTACAATGACCCTATCTCCAGAAGATTGAAGCTCACTTCAAAACTTGAGACATGCATAAGATTGGAAGGAGAGAACTAATTCCACATGACTGGCCTCTTACTTGCACACACACTCTTGTGCTCCAGTACTCCCCAGAGTAATGTTTGTTTTTTTTTAAAACAGAATCTACACTAATGTCAACTTCTATCTTTACACAGATTCCCTTAGCAGCCTGACACCACCAAGAAGGTTGGGTGAAGTGCTTGCTTTACCCAGTCTGCATGATTTTTCTTGTGCTCACAGATAAGCACTTGGGGAGCCTGGAATGTTGCACACATGGCTGGTTCTTTCAAACAGGGATGCATGACCTGTTATCTGCCCGGAAGGCTGGGAGGAGACCTGGTTTATAGCCTGGTGACCTTTGTGCTATCTGTGAGGTCTGGATCCTCCCCCAGACCCTTATCATAAGCTTGCTTTTCTCAGTCTGTAGAACCCATCTTTTTGGAAGGTGTCACGTGAACTTTATGAGGAACTTCAGTATAGTCACATGGATCTCTGTGTAGCTTACTTTGCTTCTCAAGGAGATTTATGTCAACTTTTTGTGTACACAGGACTGAGTTGAATGTCACCAGCAACAGTTTCCCCAAATTGTGCTGTTCTTAAATATGCCTAAAATAAATTACTCGGGGTCAGACTCCCAAAGTTTGAGTCAACACAGTTTGCTTAGTTGTGTTGAACTCCACTGCCTTCTTGTCCCCCTGCAGAGACCCCCACAGGAGAAAACAGGCTAAGTGTATTCTGTTTTGCCCTTTTGATGGTGCCAGGTTGCTAAGGGATAAAAGTTGACGGTGTAGATTCATCTTTAATCTCTGTTCTCAAAATGAAAAAAAAAAAAAAATACTGTGGAGCATGGTGGTGCGTGCCAGTAATCTTAGCACTCAGGGAGGCAGGGGCAGGTGGATCTCTGTGAGTTCAAGACCAACCTGGTCTACAAAGCGAGTCTAGGACAGCCAAGGCTACACAGAAGAAACCCTGTCTCAAAAACAAGTTCCTCTGGGGGTGTAGTGGGACAAGCATTAAGCGCAGTGTGTGTAGAGGTCAGAGGACATCATGTGGAGTTGGTTTTCTCCTTCCGCTTCTAATGTATGTTCCAGGGATCAACCTCAGAACTTCAGGTTTGTGTGGCAAGCAACTTCATTTGTTGAGTTTTCCTCTGTAGCTTTTCTTCTCTGTATTTTTTTTTTGGAAAGCACTGTATAATAGTATTATTCACTGGTGTTTGCATTCTCTTTTCTCTCCATTGCCTTTCCTTTTACCTTTTACGTATCAGTCACCTCCTCTTTTTGATTAATTTGATTCCTACAGAGCAAAGAACTATAATAAATTATTTACATTTCACTTTCAAATCAAATAAGATTATAAGTTATAGTTCCTTTTTTAATAATGCAGAATTTAATTCATTAAATATCTTGTTAAACTGGTAGGAATAAAAAAACAATACAGAAAGTGGAAAATTTTATAATCACTTTACTAAGTTGTTTTAGAAACTTTTGTCTCATTTACAGGTTTAACTAATTTTACATTATTATGCTATTTATGGAACAGGATAATGCTGACTACAGATTATTTCAGAAAGCACTCAAATTGTGTCGTTTCTTTGCTAACTCCCTTTTGCACTATACTAAGGTAAGGCCCTTTATAGTATATAAATGTAAGCTAGCGCTCAATTTTAAGTTGTCCTTTTGTGGGTGGCAGGGCGGGCTTACATGTGTGTGCACACGTGGAGGCCAGTAGATGACATGGAGTGTGTCTTTTGTTTCTCTCAGCTTGTTTGGTGAGGCAGGGTCTCTCACCGAGCCTGTTCTCACCGTTTTTGGTACACTTACCAGTGAGCTCCCGGGATTCGCTTAGCTCTGTTTCCTTGGCATTACAGCATGGTGTGTCATGACTGACTGTTCTGTGGGTGCCGCTCATTCAAGTCAAGCCCCCTTGCTTTCATAATACTCTGACCCACTGAACTTTCTTCCTCCTTGGCTCGCCAGTTTTTATCGTCATGCCCAAGCCAGATCATTTGGAAGATTTTACGGTTTAATACTACTTATTGTTTCTATGATGTACTTACATTGTTAGCATTCATCATTATTGGTGTTTTCATGTAATTTGCTGAGAATTATTTCTGTAAGCTGAAGTTTCTATAAGTTAATTTGAAGAAAATAACTTAGTTTGTATTTAAATAGTATTTACAAGTTATTTCTACCACGTTTCTGAGTTAGGTTCAACTTTAAATGTTCAAATCCTTTACATGCACCACACACCACACACACACACACACACACACACACACACACACATATTCTCACACACTCACACTCTTAATTTGGTATTCTCAGAATAATCTATATTTGAAGATATAAGAATAGGATAAAAAAATAAAAATTAAAATGAAACAGATAAAATAGGATAAATAAGTTAAATAGGATAAATAAATATCAGAGATTATTTGGAAAGATGAACAGACAGTGAAATCTATTATTATTAATAGATTTTAGTGATTAAAAAAAACTATCACTTGTTAAAATTTTAATGCATTTTGCTCATTTTCACTCTTCATTAATTTTTTTCATCCTCCTTCTACATCTGTGGGATTTGTTCCCAAGTCCCCTCCTACTTTGATGTCTTTCATTTTGTCTTTGTGTTTTTAATTTTTTTTTCCTTTGGTTTGGAAAAATTTTTGTTTTTTCTCTCCCACCACTTTCCTCCTCGCAGATCCTCCTATATCTTTGGTCACCCAACTTTCTGTTCTTTCTCTGTCTTACAAAAGAACAAACAAACAAACCAAAAACAATCTCTTCCCCAAACAAAAATCAAAACAAGCAAAAGACCAGTAATACAAAAAATAAAAAAATAACAAAACTAGACAGAGGAGGTGGTCCTCAGTAAGTGATGGGTGCTAATTGCGGGTGATGATTGTGACTCTAGTAGTCTAGAAGTTTGGATGCCCAGCCTCATCCTGTATTCACATATAAGCTGTCTTTTTGTATTTGAATGCAGCATGTCCAAGTTTTTATTCTGTGCATTATATTTGTGGGAGTTTTAATTAGAAAGTCATGTGACATATAAAGAATGACTAGAATGTCTTTCTTTTAGGAATTTCTTCCTCTCCTGTCTGATTCTTGCTGTGTTTTGCACCAACTTTATCTTCAGATATACAGGTAAAAGGAGTACCTCAAGCTTACTAAAGTCTAACAGTGCTACTCCATGTAAATATAAATGCTTATCTTAACTTAAACATTAGAGTAATTTTTCTTAATGTTTCAGTAAAGTTTTACCTGCTTGCTTAAAATACTGGGAGATGGAAGCTTTTAAAGTCTATGTGAGCTTTACTTTGTTTTTAACTAGTTTCTTAAAATGATTAGTAAATAATTGTAAATACTAAAGCTTTTATTTGTATATGGGTATATTATATATACTATGTATATGGATTTATAATATACACATACATGTATACATATTATATATAATGTATATTTCCATTTTATATTGCATAGTTCTGTTTTGGTAGATCTGGAAATTTACTTGGAATTATAAATTTAATTTGGAGGGGTTTAGTAGCAGATGGAACACAAAAGACAGGAGGAATAGTAAGTCTAAAATCAAGTCAGCAAAAGTGGTAAAGACTGACAGGTTACTAAGGGCATATAGGATAATAGAAAATAACCTGACATACATGTTGGTGTAGATTCATAAGAGAGAATGTAGTTTTTAAAAGTAGACATGATGCCCAACTTTAAGCATTTTATTTTTGTTCTTGTTTGGTGTAAGTTAATGCCATGAAGTGTAGTTTACTTTTTTGTTTTGTTTTGTTTTTGGAGTTTATCTCAGTAATGAGTAAGACTCATGTTAAGATGCAAGATGTATTTTAAACTTTATTCTTTAATGTTTTACTAGGAACCTCCCTGAGGACGAAACAAAAGCACATAGATGTTTATAGGTAGGAAAAAAGTTCTGAGATTCAGAAAGGTTAATACAAGGGCATGGAATAGTAGGAGAGCCCTTCCTCATGTTATTTAAGTTAATTTTATGTGCTTTCGTGTGGGTATGCACATGCCATCGTGTGTGGGTGTCTGTGTGTGCATGCATGTGCGCACATGCTTATCGTTTGGAGGGAAACTTGCAGAGAGTTGAAATTGGGGATCAAATGCAGGACCATCAGCTTCAGTGTAAAACTAAGCATCATTCTGTATGTGTTGAAGAACTTGTTCAGCTGTCAGTTCTCTCATTTGGAAGCTGAAGTGATTGTTTTGATCATGATGATTTGTGCAGAGTGCCTGATGTGCTACACTCAGCTTCTTGCCTCATGCGATCTAGAAGAGTTGTCTGTAGGAAGGCACCAAAAAGCAGTATCCACACTAGTTCCTCCTTTTTATTCAGCTGTGTTTAGGAAGCTAGAACTTTGAAGGAATAAGAGTAGCAGTCAGCCTTTCATATTGTACAAGTTTGCTGTCATGGTTTTCTTCTTATACTTGTACTTAGGCTCATACAGTCATTTCCTCACTGCCATGAATTAATTCTACATGTGCCCGAGGCTAGCCTCTTTTGCTGTCCTCTTTGTGCAACGGGTGTAATTGTTTGATATTCTCAGGCAACCCCTGAAGGTAGTCTCTTACGTAACGTCGACCTGCCCTCTCTACTGGATCATTTTCATGTGTACATAACACATGCTACTATTTTCCCTAGTTCAGTACAAAATAGTCTTTCAGTTCTTCAGTCCTTTTCCAGATATGCTCCCATTTCTCATTATATTCCAATCTTCACATGACCTTCTCAGAGAACGTCCTGTTCATTTTCCTTGATTATTTTTTCTTTATAACACTTACGTACATATTATAGTAGCCTTCACAATTCATGAAGAGTATGTTGAAACCTACAGTTGCCAGAAAGACAAGTGGTACTGAATTGTCTACTCTGTGTTCTCCCACATACATACGTAAACACATACCTACAATAGGGTTTCTGTGTAATAAGAAGAGAGAACCGCTGTAATAGTGTATTGTGATGTAGTTACCCTTTTGATAGGAGGTGACTGAGTGTCTTGAATATTAGTAAACTGGGGTGAATGACAAAATTATTGTGGCGTGGCTTTAGGCTACTATGTAAAAGTTACTTGAACACTAGTACTGCTGTACACCAGCAGTGGAGTTGATGGAGAAGGTGGCTAGTGAACCCAGGGTGGCTGATGCATGCAGCATCGCTATATTGGACAAGGGAGTCACAGCACAGGTTGGGGGAGGGGGAGAAGGACAGTATCAAATGTTACCGTTGTGTTCTTGCATTTTTTTAATTTGGTGTTTTTGTACAGTTAACTTCAGGAAACTGAAGTCATAGATAAGGAGAGACTGCTGTACAAGTTTACTTTTTTACTTAACTGTCCCCTCATTAAACAGTAAACCATGCAAAGGGCAGTGCTTTCTATATTCTGTTTATTACTACAGTAGTACCTTCTCCTGCTACATAGACATTTAAACATTTGTGAAATAGTTTATGACTATATCATGTGATTGAGAAAGAAAATATTTAGGTGCTCAGTAGTTGTAGCTCATGTCTGTGGAAATTCATTACCTGTACTTTATTCATTCATTATTTTAGTCATCTTAACAATCAAACATTAGCTAATTACATGACACAGGAAGTAATATAAGATTAAGGAGGTCAGATGAATGAACGAAGTGACTCAGATAATTGACTGTGAATAGTACTGTTGTCATACTAGAAAGACTTCAGATATTTGTCAGATGCAGCCTTTTAAATGTTATGTTAGACAGTTTGGTTATAATTGTCCCGTTTACCATAATTAAATATCAGGTAACTTTGATTTCATATAGGTTTTAATTGAAGTTTGGTTTAAACTCCATTACTGAGAAAGTCTTTTTATGAAAGTCTTTTTAGCCCCTTTTGTTTGTATATTTATCTTTTTAAAAGCTTTAGTTTCTAAGAAACAGCATCAATTTATAGTAAATTCAGCATTTACCCATCTTAAAACAGCTATTTTACCTTAATTTATTTACTTGTGTTTGAGATAGGGTCTGTACTCTGGCCTCGGTTTCCTGAATGTTGAGGTTACAGGTGTAAGCTACTAAATCAGCTTTCAATAAAAGTTACTAAGGCAGAATTCATCCGACCTATTTTTATTATAGTTTTTACTAGTTATTTAATAAGTGTATGTTTACATTATTTTTAAGGACACCATCACCAAAGGATATTAAAATATCCCCAAATAGTACTAGATTTCTCTAAGAAATATTTTCTCTATAGAATTATAGTTATGTTATTTAGTTTCTAGATTTTTATATCTTTTTGATATCAATTTGGTACTTTTGAGTTTTTTTTCCTATAAAATATGTACTTCACTTTTTATGCTTTTTCACTACTGTGACGTGAGCTTCTAATATATCTGTCTAAATCTAGAAAATGGCTATTAAATGCATGAGTTTTTTTTACCTTTGCAGCAAGTTTCCTCCAAGCCTGTATGCTGCCAAGATTTCCAAAGCACAGCAGGAGGAAATAGCTGACACTTTCCTTGTGTTACTGGACCCACTCATCAGTCAACTGCTCAAATTCCAACCTTTTGTGCAGGCAGTTTTGGCTAGTAAACTTGGTAAGCTTCAAAACATCGAAATCATCTCCTTTATTATGGCATGTCAGATACAGTTGTTTCCCGTTTAGCAGTCACTATTTTTGTTAAACATTTTTATTTATAATTTATTATGCTTTTATTGAAACATAGATTAAGTCGTACCTTTACTTTCTTTGTATAAAACTATCAAATTCCTGCTGAAAAATATTTTGGATGTGTTGTTTTATCAATTGTTTCAACTGAATGTATGACTTTGTTACTGAAAAGATCTGCCCTGTGGACTTCAGCTCCCACAAATCCTACTTCTGGTTGTTGTCATGGATAAGCTGCCCTCTCAGCCTGAGGATGTACAGACCCTGTGGTGCACAGAAGATACAGCTAGGTAACATTGCTTACATCTAATCATAGCACTGGCTTAGAGGTTCCTATTTATTTGAAATGGCCTTGAATTTAAGTTTTAGGCAGACATGGTATATGCCAATAATCTTTCCTCTGCAGTATGCTGAGATAATCACGTGAACCTAGCATTTTGAAACCATTTTATCATATTCTGCTTAATAGCTACTGTGTAGAAAAAGTACTTTGTAAAAGCTATAAAACATAATCTATAACAAATTCTAAAAATATTTTTAAATTTTGTTTACTGATCATTACGCATTGGTTAGGGTTAAAAACGTTGGCTGTTACGGATGTAGATGCAAATAACATGTAAAAGTGAACTGCATTAGGGGCTAGTGAGATGGCGTGTCTGTTAAAAGAGCTTGCTGTTCAAGCGTGAGGACCCAAGTTTAAATCCCAGGACCTATGTCTGGTGGCTTACAAATGTCTGTGTCTCAAGCCTCATGGAATCTGACACCTTCTGCTGCTTTTCGTAGGCACACATGTGCAGTTACACTCAGCAGACACATGAGACCAAGCTACACAGCTACACAACAGTTGTAAACACAGGCATATGCATACATAAAAACTGGTAGACACTGTACAGTGTCTCTAGGAAAGTCACTTGTCTTCACCCTCTTTCCTAGCACTTTAGTCCAGTGCTAGTTTGTTACCACATGGATTATTGGTGTGATCCTAATTTTTTATCCTTCCTCTTGGCTGGGCTGGTTAGTCTATTCAAACTGTGATGCTCAAAAAGTGATTTTTTTTTTTTAAAAGATTATATATTGCTCTATCTGTGTGCAGACCTGTATGAAGAGGGCATAGAGGGTATAGATGGTTGTGAACCTCCATGTGGTTGCTGGGAATTGAACTCAGGACCTTTGAAAGAGCAGCCAGTGCTCTTAAACGCATTCTCTCCAGCCCCCCAAAATGATGTTCAAACTTCTAAATTATGCAGCCAGTTCTGTTGCTATTAACTTTGATACCCCATTTTTTCATTTAAAAATATGTATTATTTGAGAATGTCACATAGGGTGCATTTTGGTCATATTCATTCACACATCTCACCCTTAAATTTCTCTACCTTCTCACTCATTCCCAACTTTGTGTCCTCATGTGTTTTTATAACCCACTAAATTCAGTTTATGATATTCATATCCTCATGGGTGGGTGGCCATCAAGTGGAGTATGGTTGACTAACATACATAACATAAGGGGACACATCCTTAAGGTAAACTCACACTCCCTCTGTCAGAAACCATCTACTGTCAGTAGCTCTTCAGGAACAGGGACTGGTGAGACCACACAGACACATTCACACATGCATGCAACCCTCCATCCAAGGATTTTGACTAACTTGATTCCCAGTTAATTAATTAAACAAAATTTACATCCCAACCACAGTTGCCCCTCCCTTTTTTCCGCCTAGTTCCATCTATCGCTCCTCCTTTTCTCTTCAGAAAAGGGGAGGCCCCCAGTTTATAAACCAGCCTTGGCATATCAAGTTGCAATAAGACTAGGCACATTATCTCTTGAGGCTAGGTGAGGCAGCTCAGTAGGAAGAAAGGGACCCAAAGGCAGGCAACAGGCAATAGGAGACAGCTCTACCCCTATTATGAGTCCCCCAGAAGGCCAAGGTACACAACTGTTACATATGTGCAGAGGGTCAAGGTCAGTGCCATACATGCTTCCTAGTTGCGGTGTAGTCTCTGAGCCCCTATGGGCCCAGGTTAGTTGATTCTGAAGGTTTTCTTGTGATATCCTTGACATCTTTCCTCCCCGTATTTTTTAAAAAATCTATTTAATTTTATTTATGTGCATTAGTGTGAAGGTGTTAGATCCCTTGGAATTGGGGTTACAGACAGTTGTGAGTTGCCATGTAGGTGCTGGGTATTGAACCCGGGACCTTTGGAAGGGCAGACAGTGCCCTTGACCACCAAGCCATCTCTCCAGCCCCTCCTCCCTCTCTTCTGCAGGATTCCCCAAGTTCTGCCTAATATTTGGCTGTGGATCTCTGCACCTGTTTCCATCAGTTGCTGGGTGAAGCCTCTCTGATAACAGTTATACTAGGCTTTGCTCTGCAAGTCTCATTATCAGTTTTAGGGGTGGGCTCCTTTTCATGGCATGGGTCTCAAAATGGACCCATTGTTGGCTATTCCCTCAAATTCTGCTTCATCTTTACCCTTCATATAGGTAGGACAAATTGTTGGTTGAAGGTTTTGTGGTGGGGTTGGTATCCCAGTCCCTCGATTGGAAGAATTGCCTGGTTACAAAACATCGCCAGTTCAGGCTCCATATCCCCCATTGCTAGGAGTCTTAGGTAGGGTCATAGATACCTGGAAATTTTCTTTGTCCTAGGTTTCTAGCTCGCCCCAGAGATCTACCCCTTACCCCCAATTCTAGTTGTCTCTCCCAGTACTCCCTCCATCTTCCCCCCAACACCCTTCTATTCCCATCCCCAACCTTATCCAGTCCTGTTCCCCTGTCTACCCAGAATGTCTATTCTATTTCCCTTTCTCACTGAGATCCACACATCTTCCCCTGAGCCCTCCTTACTTTTTTGGGTCTAGGGATTTTAGCATGGTTATCCTTTATGGCTAATACCCACTTATAAGTGAGTACATGGCATGTTTAAGTTTTTGGGTCTGGGTTACTTCACTCAGGATGATCTTTTCTAGTTCTGACCCTTTGCCTACAAACTTCATGATGCCATTATTTTTAATAGCTGAGTCATATTCCATTATGTAAATGTACCACATTTTCTTTATCCATTCTTCAGTTGAGGGACATCTAGGTTGCTTCCAGTTTCTAGCTATTATGAATAAAGCTGCTGTGAACATAGTTGAACAAGTGTCCCTGTGGTATGATGGAGCATCCTTTGGATACATGCCCAGGAGTGGTATAGCTGGGTCTTGAAGTAGCATTACTCCCGGTTTTCTGAAAGATCACCAAGTTCATTTCCAAAGGGACTGTACCAGTTTGCACTCCCACCAGCAATGGAGGAATGTTTCCCTTGCTCCACATCCTTGCCAGCATGAGCTGTCGCCTGAATTTTTGATCTTAGCCATTCTGATGGGTGTAATGATGGATTCTGTGTTGTTTTGTTTTACATTGCACTGATGGTTAAGGACGTTGAACATTTCTTTAAGTGCTTCTCAGCCATTAGAGATTTCCTTTGTTGAAAATTTTCTGTTTAGCTCTGTACCCCATTTTTAATTGGATTATTTGGTTTGTTGGTATCTAATTTCTTGAGTTCTTTATATATTTTGCATTATTAACTTTCTTAGGGTTGACGAAGATCTTTTCCCATTCTGTAGGCTGCCATTTTGTCCTTTTGACAGTGTCCTTTACCTTACTGAAGCTTTTCAGTTTCATGAGGTCCCATTTATTAATTGTTGATCTTAGTGCCTGAGCTATTTATTATTGCTGTTCTGTTCAGGAAGTTGTCTCCTGTGCTAATTAGTTCAAAGCTTTTCCACACTTTTCTCTTATATCAGGTTTAGTGTTTTTGGTTTTATGTTGAGGTCACTTGGACTTGAGTTTTGTGAAGGGTGATAGATATGGATCAACTTGCATTCTTTTACATGAAGACATCCAGTTAGACCAGCACCATTTGTTGAAGATGCTGCCTTTTTCCATGGTATGGTTTTGGCTTCTTTGTCAAAAATCAAGTGTTCGTAGGTATTCTGGATCTTCAGTTTCTTTCTAAGATTACATGCCCATTTTGAAAAAGTTTTGTACAGAAAAATTCTTTAAAGTTTTTTTTTTTTTTCTGGCAGTAAATATATTTTTTATGTCTGTATTCATATGAATTTCAGCTATTATTGACTTATCTTGACATTTTGATTCTCTGAAGTAGCCTTGTATATAGCATTTTATTTTACCTGCTACTTCTTAACCTCCTTTAATGCTTGGCTCCAATGTTTTTAATTTTCCTGCAGAATGTCCCTACTCAAAGCCATTTTCTACAATTTTGGGCAGTGTTCTGGTGAACTCTATTTGCCTGCTCATTTACAGGGAGTAAAGGGTAAAGGACAAAGTGAGGTGCCTGTCACTGTGTATCAGCATGTTTGTGTTCATCTGTGTGCATTCGTTGCTTCTTTTCATCCCTCACTGTTTCCTGAGCTGGTAAGTGCACTACAGACTCGATAAAGTGGAGTTTACGCTTTGTATTCTTTTCATTGAAATTATATTTGATATGTAGTAGAACATGAGGATTAATGACTAATGTAAACCCCAGTCATGTCAATTTGCACATTTTATTTTTTTGTTCATTTCTGTCTTAAGAGATAGTAATTCTTAGCCAGGTGTGGTGGCACATGCCTATAATTCCAGCACTTGGAGAGGAAGGGACAGGCAGAGCTCTGAGTGCAAGGACAGCCTGGTCTACAAAGTGAGTCCAGAACAGTCAGGATTGTATAGAGAAACCCTGTCTTAGAAAACAAACATAGAAAAAAAAATTTTGACTCACAATACTATTTAGTTAAAATGCTTGATAAAAAAAACATTTGCGTTGTGCACAGGGAAGTATAAGAAAATCCTGTGAAAAGTGGAAAACTTGAAGAAAGGGATGTTACCTAATGTACTAGTTATGTTTCTGTTGCTGTCATTAAAAGCAACTTAGAAAAGGAAGAGTATGTTTTGGTTTAAAGTACCATAAAGAGAGTCCAAATAATGGTGGTACCAGGCATGGCATTAGATGGCTAGAGCCGAAGCTGAGAGATCACATCTCAACTACACACAGGAAACAAAGCTCTTCGAAGTGGAGCAAGTCTGAAACCTTAATGTCCCCAGTGATGTCCTAAAAGTGCTGTAACCTTTCCTGACACTTGCCAATTGGGGACCAAGTGTACAAATAACTGAACCTGTGTGTGGGGGCCATTTATCATCAAACCGCTATACGATACGCTTTCACGAAAAGTAAATAGTAATATGTACTGCTTGATCTGTTATAGATGGTTTTATTTTTAATGGAATTAGACTGGTAAAAAGGTTGAAAATGTTTTAGGGAAAAATTGCCATGTTAATTGAAAGCTTTTAGAGATGGTCCTTGTGGATTGCAAGGATTGAGGTAGCACACTTAAATTTGGTTTCTGTTCCCCTCAGCTCATCACAATGGTAGCATATAGTAGGTTCTCCAGAGATAAAGGAGTGCCACTATGGTTCTTTTAGGTACTAGCATGTAGAGGTTTTCTACTGAAGATCTGTCATTTTGATTCTGGTAGTGCTTTCTGATTTAGTGTGAGAACTGTTTATATCTCATGAGCACCTGCCTATTAATAAGTGGAAATTTATGTTCTTTTCATTAGGATGCTGCTTTATTGGATGCTGTGCTTAGTACTCACGTGAGCACTTCGTTGCTAGCGATGGACGTGTGGTGCTTCCTTGCTCGGTAAGAAGTGCCGCTTCTGCGTTTCCATGGGGTAGTAGTAACGGCCCACGGGGAGGAAGTTTAAGTTGACAGAAGAGTTCTGTTTCTATAATCTTTTCATAACACCTCAAAATGGTTAGATTTTAGGTCACTATACTAAGTTTGGAAACAGGTGTCCTTTTTGTTTTGTTTTGTTTTTATGTACAAAGTGAGTATTGAGGCATTTCTGTGATGTTTCTTGGTATCCAGTTTGAACATGCCTAATTTGAAGTCAAAATGTGTAAAATCTAAAACTTTGAGCCCTGATGGTAAAAAGTGAAAATTACATTCCTTGAAACTATTTAACTCTCAATATTATTTGTATTATTAAATAAATATTCAAGTTATGTATATAGCCAGTTATGAAAGATAAATGAGTTAAATTACACATATGTATATTTAAAATGATGAAATCTAAAGTCCGAAACACTTCTGGCATAAGACATTTCAGATAAAGGATGCTCAACTTGAAATAGTTCACATGTCCTCACCAGGGTGTTTCTGACTCCTTGTTCTCCTGCCTAACTGGAAACTCAGGGCCTTTTTTTTTTTTTAATGTCACAGATATGGGACTGCCGAGCTTGCTGCACACCATGTCACCTTAGTGGCTCATCTGGTAAGTAGAATTAAACAGCCTATAACATCCACTTTCTGTGTTTTCTTTAGAGTATGATTTTCTTTTTGTATGCTAATAAAAATGGGAGAAATAATGTCTAAATTTAATGCTAATTATTAATAGCTAATAGAATGCTAATGTTAATACAAAAAAAGGAGTAGAAAACGTGTATGATGAGAGATTTTCTCATTTTTACAATTTTAGAATTCTACGGTTTGGTGGAAAAAATCTAGGTCAATTGAGAATATATTTAAAAAAGAACATAAAGTGAAAGGGAAAATGTGACATTGGTGGCTAAGTGCTCATCTCCTTAGTATAACTTGAGGTCTCCTACGATTTTGTTTCATTTAGGTTAGGATGGTTTGAAAGGGTTTCATTGATTGTGACCAGTGTTCTTAGGGAAAGAAATTTGTTTTGTCATTGAGTACACGCATACGTGGATTTACTGGTTTCTTTATCTTTAACGGTGATTTTTAAAAATTATGAGTTATGTTCCATCTGAAGTGCTTACGACATTTTGTCACTGCTTATCCCTACCTTTAACATGATCATGTCTGAGCCCGCCCACCCCTTTGATTATTAGCAGTTACTGAGTCGTAGATTTCTGCATTTAGTTTTAATGATGGTGTACTCCAGTGATGAGTTGCATATCCTGACCAGCCGACATTCATTCTCACAGCCCGACACATCCTGCACAAAAGAGAGTGATTCCTTACAGGTCTTAAGTCTTCAGGCTTTGTTACTTTTTTTTTTTAAATAAAGAATTCGTTACTTTTGAACAATAAAAACATTATTTTTAGGTTATATTTGCTTGTGTACGTATGGACAGGGAATGCAGGATTCCACAGGGCCAGGTGTCACGGGTGTCGGATCTGTGGCGGCTGGATTGCAGGTGGTTTGTCAGTGGCCTGATCTGTGTGCCATAAACCAAATGCAGGTCCTCTCCGAGTTCTTATAAAGAAATTAAAAATAGCCCTAAATTAAAAAGAGCTGTAGTCCTGTCTCTCAGTAAGAGTCATTTGTTTTTGGCATATAGTTATGTATTCCAAGCTTACTTTCTGGTTTTAAATCATTCTCTTCTCTCTTGTCTTTCCAGATAAAATCTTGCCCTGGAGAGTGTATTCAGCTTAACAACCTATCAATACTGTTGAAGCGTCTCTTTTTCTTCATGGCCCCTCTCCATCAGGCAAGGATATTGTCTATGTTAATGTCTTCAATCAGCTGCAAGAATGGAATTCAGGTCCCTTCCCCTTTGTTCTATACTTAAGTGTAGTATAACTGGAACAAAAATTAACATTAATGCTTTGGTAGTTGATTTTTGTCTGTGTTTCAGTTTACAGATAATCTGATTCAGTCTTCCTGGGCTACCTCTTTCTCTCTCTCTCTTTTTTTTCTCATACCTTTAAAGTACTTACGGGCAATGAGATGGCTTTGTGTCTTTGTTCCGTGTTGTAGCAAGTAATAAAAAGTGGTTGTTGGGCTATATGATGTTTATTATTAGCCCTGTGATTATCATGGTGCTATTATCTAACTTGCTATCACAAATAATAAGACACAGACACCTGTTAGATTTTATAATTGCCTCATTCATCTTGGGCCAGGCAGATATTCCTACCTACGCTGTCTGAATCTCCTCACCATCCATCTCCCAGCCCCCAGCCAATGCCGTTCTCCTTATGCATCCTATCTTCCATCCATAATCTTACAAATACTTGCTTTTAGTCTTCATCTGGACCTTTTCACGCCATTATTGGAGTCCTTCCTCCCGGCCCCACCTGTTTGTTTGTTTTTTTTCTCCAGGCTTAGGCATCCTGACATCCTTCTTCCTCCTCTTCCCCTTCCCATGATCCTCTCTGTCCTCCTTATCCACACCCACTCCATTCTGCCCTGCCCAGGTATAAGCTGTTTAATCAACCAGATAAGTCGTTCTGCAAGTTTACAAAACAAAGATAGGTATTATCAGATTTTAAGGGCCAGTAACACATCAGACCAACCTCCAAGAGTTCCATTTATCCTATTATGCTTTGAATGATGCATCTTAGTTTTTCAGAGTAAATAAAATTGATTTTTAAGGAAAAATTGCAAGTATGATAAGCCTCAGTTGCTCAGTGTTGTGAAGTCACCAAGCTTTGTTGTGATTGAGATTCCTGTCCTGGACCTGAGTAGCCTTGCACAGTCTGGTAGATTGGAACTGGAGCTCACTATTAGAATCCAGTATTAGGGTTTTGTGGGGTTTTTTTGTGTGTGTGTGCGTGTTTGAAAACAAGTTTCTGGACTCTGACCAAATGCAGTGGTGGGTGAGAGTAAGGCTCAGCAGTTCGCTTTTGCTGTTAAGCACTTAATATGATTCTGATGTGGAGTCAAGCTTAGAACCTACTAGATGCATGAAAGAAATTTGCCTGTGAAACCCGTTGGCCTTGGCTTGGATCCTGAATTATATCAGTGATACAGCATTAACGCACATCAGATTGGATATGTTTTACTAAAAGCTGACACATGTTTCTGTTTCTATGGGGAGAATAATAGTTGAATATTATAACACAGTACTCTTACTTTAGTTGTTTCCTTACTGAGGGAGAAGTAATATACCTTATTTCAACATACCAATAATTGTTGTTACAGTTTCACTCCTGTTATGATAAAACAGTGACAAAAATCCCACAGGTATATTTCCCTTCTTCGTTTTAAGGAAGAATGTAAAATTTCTGCATAATGTTTCCTTATACTTCACTGTTCTAAGGAAGAATGGTTCTTGAGCTGCTTTCTCCAGTCGACCAAATCATGGCTTTCCTGAAGCCATGGTTTTATGCTGAAGTTGCTTATTATAATCGACATTTGGCTCTTGAAGGATCCATTTTCCACCTGTAGTCTCTGTCACAGCAGATGACCACACAAACTCTTATTTTGCCAGCTAAATATTTTCTGCAAATGAAATATAAAAATGTAATACAGAGGTCCAACAGTCAAGTTGACTGTTTTGCTTTAGTCCTAGAAGGGATTATTTAGTTTTCCAGTGTATGGCAAGTTTTGATATATTTAGTGAAGTTTAGAAACTTTAAATCGAATTGTCTCATTTTTTGACTACACTAGTATATTTTTTTAATTAGGTTCTACATATAGCAATTATAAATGCATTATTTTTTCAACCACAATCAGTTTAACATTTGGACTACCATCTTTTTGACACGAGCATTTTAGCGGAACAGTGTTCCTTTTCATCTAATATATAGTAAGCTCTTTAGATTGTATTTTAGTGGAAGAACAGATTAACCAATCACATCTTTTTTTTTTTTTTTAGTTGTTTTTGTTTGTTTTGTAGTTTCCTTTTGGGAAATTAATTTAGGATGTCCTCTAGGCAGAGCAGAGCCAGCTAATCCTTTTGAAAACTGGACCTGTGATCTTGGCTTCATGTTCTCAAATGTATTAAGATAAAAGCCAGGAGAGTTACGAATTAATTTTGTCATCTGGAATATTAGTTTGACTTAATTATATAAGATGATGCATACTTGTAAGATAGCAGATCTAAAGGGTAGAAAGAAGATAAAATATCTGGTGTGAATAATAATGAAATATATTATTTAACACTCCTTAGTGCATTTTGTATTGTGCTTCATTTAAGCATGATTTTTCATTTTGGAAGCACACAGTAGCAATGAAAATAATCAGTTCATATATGTATGTTGGTCTTATACCCAGTGATCTTACTGTATATTTAACAAGAGTGTTATATGAATATATGCCCCTGGCATCCCTAGAATTCACCATGTAGACTAGGGCAAGTTACACTCTTAGAGATCCTTATGCCTCCGCCTCCTGAATGCTGGTGTTGAGATATGTACCATCCCACCTCACATAAGTGTTAAAGTTAATATTTATTTCTTGTACACCCAGTCATCCATTAGTCTGAAGTTTCTTATTATCAACTTATTCAGGTGGAGTTTGTACAGAGATTTTCTCCAAAAGAAGCAGACAACTTGCCTCTGTGGCAACATATATCCTTCCAGGCATTATCTGCTGATCTCAGGAAACGAGCTGCATGTGAAGTGATCAGAGTATGCACAGCACAGTGCAGGAAGTGGTTGAGCAGCAGTCATACTTCGGCAGAACTTGACTCTCTGGTAAGATAGTTTGTTTATTCAGTATTATACTGAGCACTGTTTAGGTCATAGCAACAGTCTGTGCATGTGTTCTCCTTCAAAACCCAGCAATGTTTTTAGATTTGTACAATATAAAAGGATCTTTGAGAAAATTATATCAATTAATCAAAAAATTGTTGATTAGGAAGCTATTGGGTAAGATGCACTTGGAAGGCATGATAGCTCTTCATTCACTGTTTTTCCAGCCACCTGCCTGGCTGAAGCATATATGATTGACATCTTCTGTCTTAGATAGGATCTCATTAGTGCATAGCCCAGGATGGTTTTGAACTCAAGATGTTAACTTAGCCTCCTTAGTGTTGGATAATGGCCAGCTTAGACATTATTCTTTTGTTTGATAAAATACAACATGCATTTTATAGAAGCCAGTTCTGAGCCTTTATGTCTTTCTGTTTGCTTACTCAATAAAACAGTAGATTCATCTATATGTAGAAAATACATGAATTTTAAAATTGGACTAGATAGTACATGCAGTTGAATTTTTTACTTCAGTTTTTATTTGCATTTGTTCAACAAATACACATTGAGTTCTCTTATGAAATAAGTTTTGTTTTAGTTATTGGAAGATTGAAAAACCTGTTATTTTAGATGTAGATTCTTGCTAAGCAGTATACAGTATAATAAAAAAATACAAAAACTTAGCCAGAGATAAAGTATATATTCAAGGACTTAAAGGCTTTCTTGTTAAATTTTTGTTAAATTCTTGTAACATCAAGGCACATGTTTCTATACTGAGCAGTTCAGTACTGTTGTAAAATGGCAGTTGACCATAATTTATTAGTTTAAAATATTGACATAAACCAAAGAAGTGTTTTTTTTTGGGGGGGGGGTATGTGTGTGGCTTTATTTTATCATAGCTAGTCATGAGTGGGTTAGTATAATATGTCATTTGTATTTAATATGCACTAGTTTATAATTGTTCAGCAAATTCAGTAGACTCTCAATATGCATTACACTTTAATAATAAAATGTATTTTGGGTTGTATTAGGTAGAAGCACCAATTTCCTAAAATTGTGTAACTTTTTAAGCTATGGCCAAAACTCACTGAATGTATTTATTTGTAGAGGGAAGTAGATTAATCTTGAATGATAGGCTATAAGGCAATTCCAACATTGGAATATTGGATATTGCAGTAAAGGATTCGGTCAGTGCTACTTGTTATTAGATTGCATATGGCCTTCACCCTATATACATCACCCTCAGACAAGCCAGAAAGAGATCTGAGTGTTTGTATGTAGATGGAAGAATGAATCCAGGAAAAGGTTGTTTTCAGTGTCAAATTCTAGATGGTGTATTTCTTTAAGTACTTTATTTGCTTATTAAATGGAGTGTTTTTGTAGCATCTCATGGTAAAATAACAGAAATAATAAAAATCTAGTAACCTATGCAGATTACTGGTTGCATGGTGTGAATTAAAAATACTTCTTTCTAGTGATGAGTATTCCAAATTAGGCCCCCCTTGCTCATTGTGTGTTAGGTTTTTATTACCGTGACAAACACAGTGACCATAAGCAACTTGGTAGGAAAGGGTTGATGTCACCTTAGAGTGCATTATAAAGGGCATCAGGGCAGGCACCCAGGCAGGGACTGAAGCAGAAGTTGTGGAGGAACACTACTTACAGCTTCCCCCATCGCTTTCTCAGTCTGCAGCCAGTAACCAACCAGGAAAATGGCCTACACACTTGCTTAACGATAATCTGATGGGGCCATGGTGTTGGTTGTTGTTGTTTTGGGGTGGTTTTGTTTTTGTTGGCTATTTGTTTTGTTTTTCAAGACAGGGTTTGTCTGTGTAGCATTGGCTGTCTTAGACTTGCTTTGTAGACCAGGCTGGCCTCGAGCTCACAGAGATCCATCTGCCTCTGCGTCCCCAAGTGCTGGGATTACAGGTATGCACCACTACACCTGGCATGGAGGCATGTTTTTAACTAATTTGTCTCTTCCCAGATAATTCTACCTTGTGTCAAGTTGACCAAAACAAAAAACAAAACCAGCCAACCATACAACAACAACAACAACAACAAAACGGTCAGAGTAATAGAAAAACAGAACATATGTACAAAGCCTACTAAAATTCAATAGTGTTTGTATTTTAAATGAAAATTTCAAAGTAGTCTATATGAATTTTTATAAGAAGTTATAAGTAATCATACAGTGTGTATAACTGGCCCCTTGGTCCTTCAGACTAGATTTATAAGGTAAAAAACTTTCCTCTTTTCGTCCTTTAGAACACTGCCCTTGCTGCTTTGCTTACAGCATGTAGTACTGCTGAAGCTTTGGATACCAGCCAACTAACTGCAGTTACTGAAGTTGTGAGTCAGCTTTGGACTTTCATAAACATTGAACAAGTAAGGAAAGCCACTCATTTCTTTGAAAATTATGAAATATTGAAAAGATAATGTTGGAGTTTCTCTCTATATTAAAAGTTCTAATTTCTTGTGGTGATCGGTAAAAGCTGTGACTTAATTCACTTAGTTGTGCTCTTTCTCAGGAGTTGTGTGTGTGTAAAGCAGAGTATGTATGTGTTCTTGTGCATATGTAGAGGCCAGAGGCTAACACTGGGTGTCTCCTTGACTGCACTTCACCTTATTTCCTGTCACTGGGTCTCCCACCTTGAGGGGGGCTCTGGGATCTGTCTGTGTGCTCCCCCTTTCCCTAAACACTGGTTACAGATGAGCCCCTGCTCACACTCAGCGTTTGTGTGGGTCCTGGGACTCAGGAACTCAGGTGCTCATACTTGCACGTTAGGCACTTCAATGGCTGAGCCATCTCCTTAGGCCCTTTCAGGCAGGTTTTGTGTCTGTGTATGTGTGTGTTTTAAGTGTGTGATAAAATATTAATGTTTGACCCTACCAAAGTGGCAGTCACAGCTTATCTCCCTATGTTTATGAATTTTCTGGACCCTTTTTAAATTTTTTTCTATTTTTTTCCTGTGTTGGATTAATGTCTCTTTGTAGCTTTGAGGTCTTTTAATGAAACAATTCAGATGACAAAAATGAGTTGACTTAAAAGTGAAAGGGACTAGTAAATAGACAGCTAATGTGTATTCCTCTTCCAAGTAAAGCTAGGAAATCATTAGGCTAAAATTAAAACATATACCCTATATACTTATATTTCTTATTTTAAAGCCTGTGACCTCTGGCAAGCAGTGGAAGCTGAAAGCAAACCCAAATTTTGGGGAAGTAATAGAAAATTTGCAGATAAAGACTGGGAAGCAGGGATTAGGTTTCCTGGAGATCAAATTCAGGGTTTCATGTATGCTCTACCACTGAACTACACCCTCAGACCTGAAGAAATACCAGGTTTTAGGTTCCATTTTTATGGTCACATTGCTGCCCTTCAGTGGTGTCACTTAAGCAAGAGGCTGCAACCCATGTTTACGTATCACTTAGCCATTCAGCACACCTTTGCTGGGACGTGCCTTCACGGCAGTGTGGCACATACACTAACTGTGAAGAGGTGGAGTTTTACCAAAACCAACAGATAGACAAGTGGCAGACACCCACTGAAAATTATCCCCTTTAAATCATCTGGATTTGAATGGTGGCTCCTCATTTCCTAGCCGTATGATCTTGAGCAAATATTTTCCTCACCCTGTTTTCTTATTATTAAGGTGGGGTGCTGCTGTCTACCACTCATGTCTGATGTAAAGCATAAGTAATTACAAGCCACATATTGACTGGAATATGATGAATGCTAAGTAAAATCCTGCTATTGCCATTTTCATGTGCCTGAGTGAGGGCTCCTGTTGGGATAAAACACCATGACCAAAAGCAACTTGAGGAGGAAAGATTTCATTTTATATCATATAACCCATCATCCAGGAAAGTCAGGTCAGGAACTCAAGGCAGGAACCCAGTGGAAGAATTAATGCAGATGCCATAGAAAACTTCTGTTTACTGACTTCCTCTTTATGGCTTGCACAGTCTGCTTTCACTCATGACTACCTGCCAAGGGGTGGCACCACCCACAGTGAGCTGGGTCCCACAGAGGACATAACATTATCTACAGGCAGTCTGCTGGAGCCATTCTTTTGTTTGTTTGGATTTTTTGCGGGGATGGGCAGAGGGCTCAGGACGAGGTTTCTCTGTGTAGCCTTGGCTCTCCTGGACTACGGTGGCCTTGAACTCAGAGATCAACTTGCCTCTGCCTCCCAGGTGCTGGAGGCATTTTTTAATTTAAGTTCTTCCCAAATAAATAGCTTGTGTCAGTTTGATAAAAACCTCTTACATCATGTAATTCTAAATTCTCACTAAAATTACTTTTGTTTCTTGTTTAAGGTAATCAGCCAACCTTATGTTCAACAGACATTTAGCTTTTTACTTCAGCTACTGGCATTCTTCATCCAAACTGTAGATCTGCAGCTGATAAGTCAGGTAATAACAGTGATCAAGTTGGTTCTTTGCTTATTATTGTGTGTGATCCTGCTGTGATGTGGTTTACTTGTAACCCCTTCAACCCTTCCTCTTTCCCTCCCTCCCTCCCCAGTAAGCCTTATTAGAGCCCAGACTCGCCTCAAACTACTTATGTAGCAGAGGATGCTATTGAACTTCTCTTCCTCCTGCCTTTATCTTTAGAAGATATGCTTTTATGCAGTGCTGGGGATTGAATCTAGGGCTTTGTGCATACTAAACAAGCATTCTACCAACCACACCCCAGCCCCGTAATCCTTTTTTCATAAGCTGAATGTATCAAATTTACTTGTTTTCATCAAGGTTGTCACTTAGTGTCTTCCTTCTGTTAGTGCTACTTGGCTATTTCCTGGGTAATTAGTCACCATACAAAATTCTGACTGTTTCATAGCAAAGCACTAGTTTTTCAGGAAAGACTAGGGGGTGGTAAGTATGAGGGGCTAGCTCCAAATGGGGATAAAATCAAGGGAGCCTTTACTAGGGTGGTAGGTAAGTATAAATCTGAAGGAGAAAGCCATGTAATCTCTCTGGAAGAGTTCTGAGGCTAGAAACTGGTGAGAATATTAACAACTCTGATCTGATGTTTATCCTTACTCAGCTTCCACAATTGAGGCTTATAAACTAGCCATTGGCTGTTTTGGATTTTGTCTTGCTTCCCTTCCCCCACAAGCATACCTTGGCAGCATGTAATTATATGTGTGTGTGTATGTATGTATGTATGCATGCATGTACACATGTACCCACCCTTTGGCAGCACCTTGTAACCTTTCTTTGTTTTCATCTCTTCAGGTTGTTAGTGTACTGACACCACTAATTAAGCTAGAGCCTCCGGACCATGTCTCCTTAGCAATACTGGATTTTATAGCTTCTCTGGGCAAACTTTTTATACCTCAAAATATCCAGGTAATACATTCTTTTAACAAAAATACAAAATCTAAGAGCAAAATCTCTGTAATGACTAGAAAAATTTTAAGCTTTTGGTTGGCTTGTTTTTGAGACAGGGCCTCACATTGTAGACCAGCGTGATCTAGAACCTGAGGCAGTTCTCTTTCGTCAGCCTCATTAAGTGCTGGGACTGTGGTGTGAGCCACACTGGGTATCGGTTTTTAATTTCTAAAATCTTGTGAATTTACCAACAAAGTTGTGGAAAAAATGCTTTCTGATAGGAAGGATAGTTGTCAAAATAGAGCACATTTTAAGTCATTTTCTTTTAAAAATGAGTTGGCATACTATAATAATTTATCAGGTTGCCTAATTGTAGAGGAATTTTAATCCAGCAACATGGCTGCTCTGACACAAGAGATCACATGTGAAGACCTTCTAGGTATGTAATCCAGCTGGAATACAGACATACCCTGGATTACAGTTTGATCTGGCTGGAATATAGACAGAGAAGAGCTAAGTATGAGGGGCTAGCTCCAAATGGGGATAAAATCAAGGGAGCCTTTACTAGGGTGGTAGGTAAGTATAAATTTGAAGGAGAAAGCCATGTAATCTCTCTGGACGAGTTCTGAGCAATGTAAAGCCTCATAGATAGGAACATGCCAGGCAGCCACTCAGGGTATCTAGTATAGCAATGGGTGGTGATGCTTTATAGCTCGTTGTATAGTTCTGGATATAACCCTGAAGGAAACTGGAAGTTACTAGACAGAGTTGAGAAAGGAAAGAGGACATAATGTGTCCCAAAAGTTGACAATGTCCTGTATTGAAGTTGTTTTTCTCCAGCAAGGTTTGGCTCTCTTCCTAGGACAAGGTGCTGCCCAACCTGTCTTGTATTCTTACTTTACTGATAGTCAACAGGAAGTGGCTGCTAGAACAACATGCTTTGGAGGCATTTACACAGTTTGCTGAGGTAAGGCCAGTTTATATACAGATTGAGCTCTGTGTATTTTCATATTTTTAATATTCTAAAACATTTACAAATACTGAGATGCCTATGTGTCTCAGTTGTGAAATTTTCTGCTGAGGACTTACTAATCATTATGAGGCCTAGAGAAGTGATTTTCGAAGGTTCTCTGATCAGCAAGGATTAAGCATTCAGTCAACTGCCTGACTGAGTCATACACTGCCTGCAGTAGCACAAGGGGATAGTTCTTGAATTGAACACCCTTAGCTCAGCTCTAGAGAGGTGAGCTCCTTTTGTTGTGAGGTGCTGCTTCTGCTTTGACCCGTTTCTGTACAGTTATGCCTTCCGCTTAAGAGTGATTCAAGTAACTAAATCTTGCAGCACTATAATATATATATAAACACAAAATTATATATAAAATATATACAGATATATATAAAGACAAAAGACTATATATATATTAGTATATACAGTATACTATATATGTATACTATATATACATATATATACTATATATATACATACATATATATATACACACACACACATATATATATATATATAAAGACAAAATTACATTGTATCTCAAGGCTTTGTAGAATTATGAATCTATTGCCTTTGAGAATCTTTGGTTACTACTTTCTTTTAAAATGAGTTTTCGGTTAAGGTAGTCTAGTAAATTCATTGGCTTAACAAGCTGCTGAACTTTAATTGATATGTCTTGTTTATTATCTTTTAATAGGGAACAAATCATGAAGAGATAGTTCCACAGTGTCTTAGTTCTGAAGAAATCAAGAACAAAGTTGTAGTTTTTTTGGAGAAGGTATTTATTATTTATGTGTAAGGTCCATGTTTTATTTTATGTTTAATGTTTTATATATATACTTGTAAGCACCTTAGTTTAAGCCTTTTCTTTTTGGTACTGGAGTTTGAACCAGGGCTTTGATAGGTGTTTTACCACTAAGGTATATCTCCAGTCTTAAACTATAGGTTGTTTTGCACAGTGCTAATTCAGATAGGCTAAACATGTCTAATCCAGAGTACTACAAAATCTGAAACTTTGTGAACCATGAATATGAGTAAAAGAACAACGCAGTGAAACCTTATTTCATGCACAAAATTACTAAAAATGGTGTATAAAACTGCTTCAGGGATGTATGAATTTCATGAATATTTGGATTTTATCCCTACAGTATCTGATGTCCATATAGGAAATCTGAGGCATTTTGTATAAATGTAAAGATTCATACAACTTGTATGAATCAGTTATGAGGGTATATCAGAGATGTTAATCACTTAGAGTCACTGTACTAGTAAATTTGAGATACTGATAACCTTGGCAATAAGATTCAAAAAAATATGCTGATGATAGTTGATTACACGTGACTACAAGGCTGACAATGAATGGTTCTACTATATTTTAGAATGATTTCAGTGTGGTTTTCTAATATACAGAGTCAGGGTTTACTTTTGTAGATAGGATCTCACTGTATAGCTTGGCTTTGATTTCAGAGATCCTCCTGCCTCTGCTTCATGAGTGCTGGAATTAAGGGTGTACTGTCATATCCAGCTAAAGTGGTGTTTCTACAGTTGTTCAGTAAAATTAAAAAAAAAAAAAGTTTAAGTATAGGAATCCCATATATTCTGAAAATATATTCTGACATACTGGCGTTATGATATAGGGGATAATTAAAGTACTAATAAGCAGACCTGTCAGACCACAGATACAGAATACCCGGAAACGTGTATTACAGCGATGTCCATATTTAGCTGGCTTCTCTCTATAGAGCTCCCTTACGCATGTTACCAAGTGTGTGTGTATCACAGTTGAGAATACATCTAGGCTGGGCTTTAAGTACATGTAAAATAAAAGTTTTGCCAGCGTCACACCACGTACAGTGAGGCAAATGGTAGCCGGTTTTCACTTTTCTCACACAGACAATTCTTCTGTAGTAAAGAACAGTATAAGGTAGTCAAAGGTTGCGACCCTACATATCAAATATCCTGAATGTTACACATTTATATTACAATTTATAACAGTGAAGTTAATGAGTCATGAAGTCGTAAGGAAATAGTTTTATGGTTGGGAGTGAGCACAACATGAGGAACCGTATTAAAGGGTCACGGTGTTAAGAACATTGAGAACCACTGCTCTAAGGGGGATTGTATTCAAGTTACACTAAGATGAGTCTGCCTAATGTAGAATCTGCCTGGCCACAGGTTAGACCAGGATGGTTGTAACACTCAGCTTCATCTTCATCTTCTGTATCTCATACTACTTGGTATCTAGTAGAGAAGGCTAATGAATCATTTTTGGTTATCTTTGGCAGACAGGAATTGTAGATGAAACTGAGGCTGCCAGCATGGACAGTGTCAGACAGGAGAAAGGCACTTTCTGGAAACCCTCTGCTCAGGTGGCTGTAGAAGAAGCAAAGGGGTCAGCTTTACAGGTATCGGCCGCTTTTTAGTATGGTAACTGGTCAAACGAGAACTTCTGCCCTCATAACTGATAAAACCAACTAGTTCGATTCTTTCCTCATGTTGAATTTCAAATAAATCTAGACAGGTAAAATTCTCCATTTATGGTAGTTGCACATCAAAAACAAAACAAAAAAACCAAAACCACACACTTTTCCTGAAATGTTACCAACATAGACAAGAACTACAGAAAATAGTTGTAACCATTATACCAAATATAGTTTTTATTATTGATAGTTACATATTGTACCAATGATGGCATAAATGCATTTTTTTCTAACCCACAGATGTTAGTCAGCATGTTCAGTTCATCTTAAGAGGATAGCCTCATAATCACTTTTCTCTAAATATCAGGTCCCTATTAATTGACAGAAATTTGAAACTGCTGCATATGTTCAGAATATTTTGAATGTAGGTAATAGAATTTGGAATTGTAGGTAGGGCTGTCAGAAAACAATGTTCAATGTTTTTATTGCAGTAGTGACTTGTTTTCTTAGATGTAGCTGTAGGCCGGAAATATATAAATTTCAATATAAGTCAGTTATGTTCGTAAGCCCTGTGAATTTAAATGTGACTCCCCTTTGGGAAACCAATTATTATATGTCTGGGTCTCCTATCAGCCCCTCTTTCCCCTCCCTGTGCAATATGTTTCAAGTCTTAAGTTTTCCTCATCTGGATCCAAAAAGCATGTTGACAACCATAGTTCTGATCAGTCACAAATTATTGTTAGGAAATTCACATTTTACTTTCATTAATGGTGTTTTAAAGAATACTCATTGATCGCTGTTGGGCAGGGAGACATTTGTCATTGGCGACCCTAGCTCAGGGTGACTCTCCTTGTCCGCCACATACAAATTAGGAAAGAAGTAGCATTTAGGTGTCACTGCAGATGGGAAGGGTGCCCTTTTAGGGTGAGGGTTGCAGCATTACTTGCCTCATGTTTTCCTTATTTCCCAGCCTTACACAAAGAGAGCCCGGCAGGAGCTCCCTGTGGAAGAAGAGTACAGGTCAGCCTTTCAGGCAGCAGCGGGGGGTTTGGAGACAACTGAGGTGTTACTCACGCACTCCCCTGCTCCAGCCTGGCTACTAGGGGAGCTGGAGGCACTGCGAGAGAGGATTGAGAAGCTAAAGTGCCGTGTGCAAGAGGGTAAAATATGAATTGTGAATGTCCTGGCTCGGACAGAACTGGGCTTGAGTCTTCAACTGCCTTGCCTAGATGTTTGTAAATGAAACTACAAATGTAAATTATGTTTGTATATTTTCAGAGCACATATAAAAGCTTTTTGTAAATGTGAAAATATCTTTATTTAACATAGAGAACAAGATGGGGGGGATATTTCTCATTGAGAACTTTGGTACAGTGTAATACAGGTGAAACAGTAACTGCCCAGGTCCAAAGGAGAGAGGTACCTTTTTTTTTTAAACTGATGATAAACTGTAAACAAATAAATAAACTGCCTAAGGAATCTTAGCAGTTTGAAGTTATAATTTACAGCTAGATTTTTTTTTCAGTAAGTTATTATTTCATAATAGAGCTTACTCTTTGAAAGAAATGGCACAAAATTAAGCTTACCAGCTTGAATTTTTATTTTCTTTACTTCCAGAATTGTCCTGGAAGAAAGCACTTCTTTAGCTATTTGCTTTGCATGAAAACTGGCCTTGGTCAAGTGCACACAGGCACTTTCTCCTATCCAGTCCCGAGAGCCTTCTGCCAGCCATGGCGTAGCCAGCAACCTGAGGCTGGTCTCTGCTTGAATTGGCACAGACTGCAAAAAGAGCTCCTGGTACAGGGAACACAGGCTGCTTTGGGGTTTTACACCCATGCAGCTTGCTTTGAGGTATTAATTCTTTTACAATTCTTCCTGAAGTTTAAGCTCTTATCACCAGCTGTTATCTTCCCAGGTTAGCTCTTCTCCTTCTTCCCAGCCTTCTGCCTCTCCCTGCAACAGCACACAGAGATACCTGAAGCCTCTGAAGAGAATTATGTATACATCTCAAAAACAAGCATTTAAAAGTGACCCAGAAGAGACTACCTCTTAAGTACAATAAAACTGTAACTAAAAGTTAAAGTGAGATTGCATTGGTTCTGACATTACAAACCACACCCACTGGAAAGTAACTACGTAGTACAGTAAAGTCAGTCACACATTCTTTTTCTCAAACAAGGACTTACTCATGCAGCAGGTGGACCCAGGGATGGCCTGCTGTGGCCAAGGACAGGAAGTTTTAAAACAAGGTTTTTGTTTTTTAAAAATTTAATTTGATGTGTATGGTTTTGTGTGCTTGTAGAGGCCAGAGGGATCAAATCTTCTGAAACTAAGGTTACAGACTGTTGTGTGGCATTATGAGGGAGCTGGGAATCAAACCCAGGTCCTCTAGTAGAATAGGCAGTCCTGTTAACCATCTTTCCAGCCGCATGATTTTTTTTTTTAATATTTACTTAATATGTATACAGTGTTCTGACTACATGTACCACTTGCATGCCAGAAGAGGGCACCAAATCTCATAGATGGTTGTGAGCCACCATGTTGCTGGGAATTGAACTCAGGACCTCCAGAAGAACAGCCAGTGCTCTTAACCTCTGAGCCATCTCTCCAGCCCCCCTGCCCCATGATTTTATTTTAGTAATTTGATTTTTTTTTGTACTGTGTCATGTCAGTAGGTTGGACAGGTCTGATGTCCTTTTTGTTTGTTTGTTTGTTTTTTGTTTTTAAAGCACTATGAAAAACTGTTTTTTAGGAACTGTTTTTGTTGTTTCTGGATGTACTTTGATAATTTTTAGCCAGCTGAGTACAATATTCTTTCTTTGAGAAAACTGCTTGTTTATTGTTAACTGAGACCCCTGAGGGAAACTCCAACATTAGTTTAATACAAAGAATGAACTCACCTCAGTCATTTCTGTTGCAGCAAATTTTGAAGAAAACTGCACTACTGGTGAGACATTATTCTTGTCAGGGACCATCACTTCTGTCCTCAGTTCAGGCAAAATAAGAAAAGTACCTGAAGGCTTAATTTCTGGGATCATATCTGCAAACCAATCCAACTCAGGATCTTGTACTTGCTTCTTTTTTACTTGTATGGTAAACTCTTCTCCTAAACCGAGTTCTGAGCGAACCTTATGAGGTCTGTCTTGCGACACTTCCAGTGGTTGGACTTCCCCATGCTGTCTATGGTTGGTCTTTGAGGAGGCACTAGATTTAGCAGCCTTTGACTCTTCAGTGAGAGGAAGCAAGGCTGCAGCGGGCCTCTGTTCCCCTGAGGTAATAGTAGGCATGGCAGCAGACGCTCCGGCAGCTACGCTTACTTCAGTACCAAAGCTAGACTCACAATCACCCCAGGACTCCTCCTCTGCATTCAGATGTGTGTGCTGGCGCTCGGCTACATCGCAGGGTTCTCGGGACCATATCTGAATACTGGCAGTTTGGTGCTCAGGCTCCTCAGGCTCGCTCCAGTCAGGCCACGCCTCGGCCTTGTTAGAACCTGCTGGGACGTTTCCACTGTCCTCTGAAGTGCTCTGCACATCTGAGATTCCATTCATAGGGAATTTAGTAGCATGAGAAAACTGATCACCTATGGGTGTATGTAAGAATTAGTTCTCATAAAATGTTATGAGCAGGCAAATAAGTATGGGTCTGATTACTTGGAAATATCCATGTACACTAGCAAAAGTTAGGCAGAACATAACAAAGATGCCATATCATTTCTCCAAATACACATGACACTTAACTCAAAGGCATACCAATTTTCACAAATGACTGATCTTTTGATCTTTGACTAAATATCCAAACACCCCGATAGCATAAGTCTCTATAAATAAATACAGACACAGTCTTATTCTTGGTATTATGACATGTACAAATGTGTGCTCAAGTAAGTTGTTTCTACTTACTGGGTGGGAGAGTCTGTGCATGCATGCCTTAGTGCCGGTGTGTAGGCTAAGGACAGCTGTGCAGTTGGTTCCACCTTATATGGGTTCTAGACATTGACCTTGGGTTATTAGCCTTTCACACAAGTGTTTTTACCTCCTGAGCCATGTGTTTGTCTCTGTGTGAATATGCACATATGATTACTGTGCCCACATAGGCCAGAAGCATTGGATAACCTGGAGCTGGTGATAGAGGCCATTGCTGGGGATCAAACTTGAGTTCCCTACAGGAGTATTTTGTTCTTTGAACTGCTGAGCCATCTTTCTGGCCCCCAAACAGGTTTGAAACAGACTTTCTCAGGTGTCATCAGGTGCTAAGAAATAACAGGTTTACTCTGCTACCACTTCCCCAACTTATTTACAGAACATTTTTCAGTACATGTCTTTTTTAACACTATCTGTAGAACTTTCTAGTTTTGGTACATGTTGATGCAGAAGGCATCAAAATGCCAAAATATGTTACAAAAATGAACTCAAGTAATGTTAACTCATTGTGTCGAAAGGTTAGGTAAATAGCCAACAGTTTGGAGAAGTAAGACAAGAAAAAGGAATTCCAGGATACTCATGATTTTCAAAATTTAAGCTTAATATTCTCAGGAATATATCAAAGCAATGGGAAACTCAGTTAATCTTACCTGTCTGTAAAAGAGTATTGTAATATTCTTCCTGTATGTGCTTACTGCTGTTGATGGGCATGCTGCCAGAAAAGAACCATTTAGGGAATACGTTAGAGGAGGGGTTCTCCAAGACTTGTGAGGTCCGACTCTGCTGGCTGCAGACAACATGCATGGGAGAACCTGAACAAAGTGAAGGAAGAGGGGTGTGCTTACTGATTTTGCACATGACTGGTGAGCAGTCAAGGGAAATGGGTATATGTAGCACTGATCAATGAACATCAAATGTTTACCCCAAAACAATTATTGAATGGGTTGCCTATAACTAGAGGTTAAAAGACAGGTTGTGTCACCACATGGTGGTGATGGGACAGAAGTCCTATGACGCACTACATAGATAAAATCTTTAGGAAACCCTGGTGTGTGATATTCCTTAAAATAATTTTGGTGGCAATCTAACACTGTGATTCTAATTTCCTTTTAATAATAAAAGGCTAGTAAGAGTACAAGCCTAACAATAATAATGACAATACCATAAAATTATGTACTGAAAATAATTAACTTTCATGCTATGGATATTTGACCTTGAGTGAGGAAAGTAGCTGTCTTAACAATTTACCAGAAAGCTTAGGCTCAAGACTGGATATTGATCAGAAAGATTTAGGAGTTACAGCTGAGCTGGATTTGGTGGTGCAGGCTTTTAATCTCATACTTGGGAGGCAGAGGCAGTTGGATCACAGTGAGTTTGAGGCCTGCCTGGTCTACAAAGAGAACTGCACGACAGCCAGGGCTTTTACAGCTGCTTACCTTAAAGCTGGGCTAAGGGGAGTCAACTGTCATAAATAAGGCTTCAATTCTCTATAGCATTTCTCTCTCTCCTTTACCTCAGCCCTCAGGGCCTACCACTATAAGGCAAGGAACTGCATTAGAGACCCAGAATTTAGTAATGAAACCATGGTCATATTTAAGGTCCTACAAAGTAGCAAAATGGCAATGACACTGCTGATACAAAATTTTGTGCTACCTTCCACAGAGAATACAGTGGGAATAAGCCAAAATGAAAGATTTCCTGAAGTACTCAAAAATACCTTTTATCCAATAGTCCAACAAACTCAAAGGAACTTAAGTATCTAGTGTTAAAAAGAACAAGTCTTTAATAGCTCTTACTAAAATTCAGCTATAGCCTCTGACTTACAAAGTCTCCTTCTGAGACTATCCTATGGCAGTGGAGCCCCACATAAGGATGCCTGTGTAAGGGTATTCATAGTACTACTGTTTATATACTGATTAGAAATCCAGTGAAATACTACACAGGTGTAAAGTGACATAGCTTTTCATGTATTCACTGGGAAACATCTTTATTTTGCAATACATGGAAATAAGCTATAGACTTGTTCATAGCAGCCTTAAGAATAAGCCTATAAAAACCACATAATGTATGTATGATACATTTATCTTGTATCACTTTGTAGGCTTACAAAAAAGTATTTTTCACTAAGCCATTAAAGGTCACTTTGTATCCACTACAAGTTTGAAAAGGGAAATTCAACTTTCCTCAAGCTTCTTGACCATTTCCCTCAACATAAACTTGTATAATACTAAAAAGCTAATATATATATATATATATATATATATATATATATATTCTTAATTTTGGTGGTTTGGAGTTCTTTTCTCTTTTGTTATAAGGGGGTAGTAAATGGGGACCAGGTACCCCTGGGCTCTGGGGAAGAGGCATGCAGGAAACCCCAGCAGGCTGGAGTTGGGTAGAAGAGTCCTGGAGTTTCCCATAATTCTTCGCAGGAAACAGCAATGCTGGCAGATAAGGAGGTGGAATGAGGCAGGGCCCTTTGGAAAATGGGGTAGTGGGCCAAGGGGATTGGGGTTCACTCTAACATGCAAAGCCCAGGTGCCCCATAAGCTAGGTTGCTTTTAAAGAGCGCCATACAAATAAATACACAGACTTAGCTATACACACACATGCAGAGAAGGCTCTGTGTTCCCAAGGGTGGGGATCTAGGCCTACTGGCCCCAAGACAGGAGTCAGCCTCGCCTCTGCCATCAAGTGATTCTCTGAAACACTCCAGGTGGTGTGGCCAGGCAGGTGAGTCTTCTTTGGAATGGCTTTTTGGTATCCAAGATGCTGCCCAGCGGGCACCTAGGCCACTTTAGACAAGTCTATGTGAGCTGGGGCACCGGTGTGTGTGCTGTGAATTTGCATGCGTGCAATTGTGCATGATGGTACATGACTGCCCGGCCTCTCCCCTCCAGGGCTCTGGGGTACAAGGGTGCAGACAGAGAAAGGTAATAAAATAATTTTTTAATCTTACCTTCAGGGGAAAGGTCACTAGTTTTAGTAAAACTTGGAGCAGTGCGCTTAAAGATCTTAGTTCTTTCTCCTCCCACAACCACTTCTGGCCCAAGTAGAGACACCAGCACTGCCAGGCTACGAAGGGTAATTGCCACAATGGAATTGCTGGTATCACGAAGGCCCAGTAATACCTAGGAGCAAAAATTGGGTATGAATGTGGACAGCCACTATCTTTCTCTCTTGGAAAGATAAAACTGGCCTGCAGTTTTAATGCTTGTGCAAATGAACGACATTTTCCTAAATGTTTTTCTAACCTGGTGGCTCTCCAATGATCTAAGGAAAAGAAACAATATTTTGCCCTCCCAATCCATCATGGATTGCTACTTAAGAACAAAAAATGCCAGGACAGGCAAGCTAGTCCAGTGGGTAAAGGCTCCTGCTATGAACCCTGAAGACCACGTCCACATGGTGGAAAACTGACTCTCATGGGTTGTCCTTTAATCTCCATACATGAGCTGTGGAAGGTTATGTATGCACAAACATGAAGACACAACACAACTGTGTTTTTAAAAATACAGCCCAGCAGAAATACATGGGAAACTAACAACTCCAAAAAACTGCTACACATGGCAGTTTTAAGTGTAAGTATTCATACACTTCATTATAGAATAGTTCAGGAGTGACACTGCTCTGCAGAGCACACTCTGACCACTCTAGGGACTGACAACTATGTTGCTGGTTTAAATCTCAGTTCTCAACTTTACACTCAAAAGGTAGATCCCATAAGATATCTGTATTTATATTTAGCACTTGCCCATCATAATTTAGCCTGAGCTAATTATGATCTCTCTCCAGTCATCTAGCTGCAATTCACAGAACTAGTTGTCCAGTTTGCTTAAAATAAGGATAGTAAACCTTGTGTATGGGAAGTTATGAAATGCCAAAAAAAAACAATGAGCTTTTGTTCAGAGTTAAAAGATAGATGCAAAGAAAATGTGAAGGAAGCAAAACCTAGTAGGACTTGATTGTCAGGTTAGGTAGTCTGTAACCTTTTATTCACACACACACACTATTATTCTTTTGTGTTTAGCTGGCTTTATGTCAGTCGTAGTTATCTGCAAGCAGAAGTACCTTAAACAAGAACCATGGAGACGATAAGGGACAGGTTTTGTTTATTTTGGAAGAGAAGCTACATTAGCTCTTAACTGTATCAAGAATAGAGTTGCCATAGTTTCACTAGTAAGTCTCAGTATGACTGGACCAATCAATCATGCATTTCTGGCTAACTTCTTATTTGTGGAAGAACAATGCATTCTAACAAGACTTGAGGACAGCCCGGTGCGAGCTAAGCAGGCACTTCCTGGGAGTAAAGCTTTCAAGTAAACCAGAGCCTGCTTCTATCATCAAAACACTGCCCACAAAACAGCCCCTCTAAGCCCAATGTGTTCTCAACACCTTTTCCTAAAGAGAGAAAGCCAGTCTTAAACCCCTCCTCCCACTGTTCTGGTTGCCCTAGACTCATCTTCTCTTAATTGAGCTTTTCAACAGGTTTTGCCCTGTCTTCCACATGGCTGTATTTTAGCACACAGAAATTGACCCAGTTAGTTTATAGGGAATAACGACAATTGCCAAAGAACAGCTGCTGAACTAACTAGTTGTAGAACGTAATAGCTCACTCATCATTTAGCTTTCTAAATTAGGAGAGTTGTTTGTCACATGCTGAGCACCCAGCTGTCTCTGGCCTCAGCCTGTAATACCTGTTTCAGGTTAGAGCACCGTGTTGCTCTTCTAAAGGGATGCCATGCAGGCTAACACTCATTCCTGCAGAGCTAGGTGCAAAGAGCCAGCTCTCTAGTGAAGCACACTTCCACAGCCAGGCATCAGCCCATGCTACAGTAACTGAGCTAAGGGGCTCCGTGGGGGTGGGACAAGAACCCAGTCTCTAGTTCAGTGACAAAAGACTTAGGTATCCTGCAGTCCCTGCTAAGTCTAGTCTATCAGCCAGCCTTTCCAAAGATCCCAGGAAGTCAGTTAGGTAAGTCAGCCCAGGTGAGGCCCCGAGGGCTGAAGTCTGGAAACTCCTAAACCCAGTCAACAGGAAGAATCATGAGAGTTAAGGAAACAGTTGCCACCCTAAGGCAGAGCCTAACGTAAACATCTGCCATCCACAAACTCCTTGAATATAAAGGCAGAAACTAAGCTGAGATACACCAGGTGGCTGGTAGCTTTAAAGACACTTTTTAGGGCTGGAGAGATGGCTCAGTGGTTAAGAGCACTGTCTGCTCTTCCAAAGGACCTGGGTTCAATTCCCAGCAACCACATGGCAGCTCACAACTGTCTGTAACCCCAATTCCAAGAGATTTGACACCTTCACCCTGATACACATAAAATAAAAAAATCACTTTATTGAAAAAAAAAAAAAAAAAGAAAAAAGAAAACCAAACCAAACCACTTTTTAACAACAACAACTTTTGAGAAGGTTACACTGGTTAGCATGGGCCCTAACGTCAATGACTAGTATCTTGTGCTAACTGAAGTTAGACATGGCAACACTTGAAATCCTACTAGGAGTTTAAAGCCAGTCTCTGCTATACAGAGCCCATGGCCTCTCCCCACTGCACCACCCCAAAAGCCAAATTATGAGTCAGTCCTAGAACAAAGGCTCCATGAAGATGGGTGTGGACTGCCTGACGCAGCTCCCCAATGATGCCCAGTACTGCTGCTGGGCGCAGTAAGGCTTATAATGTGCAGGCGCTCAGCAGCGGCTGCACCTGACTACACCTGCATTTCCCACTTCTTCAGATCTCTCCATGGCAATTACCGTAATGTAATTATGGAGAATCATATTCTATATTTATAAAGCATTTCACAAATTCGATGAGTCTGCTTACGCCTGTTTTCTATCTTCTCATTCATTTACCTCCAAGAATTAGCCAACAGAATCATAATTGCTCACATATTAAGGCTAAACATGTTAATTGATTTGCCAAGAAGATTGGAATAAAAATATAATTTCAGTCCTTTATATTCTACTAAGTTTTAACTCAACTGCTGTCAAGTCTGTGAGCTAGTATCTGAAAAACAATCCCTTCTTTCATTCCCTAAAAACGGCAGCACCCTATGCCAAGACAATAAGACAATCCCACTGCCAACTTGGTCCTGACCTGTGGCAAGATGACTTTCTTTAGCTGTTCCTGAGTAAAGTGCTCCACATAGGCCTCAATGTGGGACAGTAACACCATCCGCACGTGCTCCTCATGGACCTCGAACAACTGGAGAAGCACAGGGATCACTCGAGACTGGAACAGCGCTGGCGAGAGCAAGCAAGGCGTTTCTCCTGGTGCATTCTCTACCCCAAACCAGAGGGGACAGACAACAGTAGTTTAGTGAAAAGAGTAAGAACATAACTCATCAACTGGGCTCACAACTTGACACACAGTTTACGTATCTGTCTAGATTTTGAGCCCTAGTCTAAAGGTATTTATGTGGATTCAAAATTGCCGAAAGGCTTTACTGTCTCAAGGCTATCTGTGTCCTGTTCTTTGTTAGTGGGTCTGGCTCAAGGCTCATCTTTAATGAGCGCTAATGTGATTTATGGGTTCTCCCTCTCAAATCCACTGTGAAAGGATGGAAAGCTAAAAGGAAAATTCATGACTAGAATAAAAATATTCAACCCAGAGATAAAAATGCAACTTGAAACTGAAGTAACTCCCCATACATTTGCTGAAGTGACATCATTTAAGAGAATGAACTACGGGGAAGAGTGCTGTGCTGACTGCAGAGGACCCAGGTTCGGGTCCCAGTACTCATGGTGGCTGGCTCACAACCATCCCTAATTCTAGGGGATCGAGTGCCCTCTTGTGGCTTCCATGGGGACCAGGCATGCATGTAAGACAAATGTATACATGTAGGTAAAACACTCCTACATGTAAAATTAAATCTTTAAAAAAAAATTTTTTTTTTTAATTTTAAGAGATTCTCAAGCAGCAGGATGCAACCTAACTCTAAAGTCTTCAGTATGTTAATAATATATTCTTTAACCCATGTGTTGTCATGTAAAGACTACAATCTTATAGTTTCAAAGCAACTGCTTCATTTTTCATTCAGGGAAATAAAAACATACAAAAAGCAACACACAGTTCGAAGAAATAAAGTGACCTTGGAGATTTGCAACCTTTTTACTAGAAACACAATGTGGTTGCTTGGAGTAACTTAGGAAGCGCGGCCTAAGGAGTCACTGAAGATGCCTGTGTTAACCTGTTGAAAGTTCATGTATGCACTGCGCTGCACTTGTGTGTGCTTGCTGTGTAACCACTCCCTGCAGTAAATACGGCCCTCCAGAAAGATGTTCCATAGACACCTGTGGGTTTGGCACCTGGGCTAAAGCTGTCATATTAGGGAGGAATAATTGTTCTGTGCCTTTAGAGCCAAACACTGGAGCACTCAAATAAAATAAAATAATAAAATAAAAGGCCTAATAATTGCCAAACTCCTTGATAACCAGTAACACTAGGAAAAAAAAAAAATCACCTTTTTTAGGGCCAAGTAGATAGGGAAGAAAACTTTTAACAGCTACTGGCTCGGCAAACACCAGCGGGTTAAGCAGGAGAGGCACCAATCTTGAAGCTATTAGTTCTTCCGACAGGCAGCTCACTCGGTCCAGCAGAAATCTGAGGACAAATGAGAAAAAGATGCTGTTAGCCTCCGATCTGGTGATGTTACCTGTCTGCATTCTCAATCAGGCTACCCCATCCGTGTGCCATATGTGGTAAGCACCTGATCCGATGGTGCTCTGCTGTCCATTTGCTGCTTGTCGGTTACTATTTGTTCTTTTGCTTGCTACACACTTAATGTTATACACAGCCTTCCTTGGCTGCTGCTCTAACATCCTCTTCTGCCCATTTGCCCAGGCTCCATACTTACCCCAACTCCATGTGCTCCCTCCCCTAACCCCACTGGTTCTTCTCTCAGCCTAAACCATCCCAGCTCTGTCAGTTACGTCTTTCTTACCTCAGTGTCTCCTTCACTGGGCCAGCATCACCTTACATCAACCTCTTTTTTTATCTGGTGACGGAACTACTACACACTAACCAACCCAAGGCTCAAGCGATCTAAGCCTGCCTTCAGGAACAACAGAATGACCAGTACAGAGAGTGCTGGCCACCTCATGCTTACATTCACCCCCTCAGTGGCTTCAAGCTAAGAAGCTTACTGTCTGCAAATACCAATGATACTCTGCCTTGTCACACAAGGACCACCTCTTACCTCTTGCTTTGAACTCTGCCTGCCAGCAGGATCCAAGTGCTTGCCATTTGCTACAGTGAGTCTTTCCTTGGTTCATTCATTCCTGTTGTTTCTCTGTCCAGAGGAGCTTTCCTCTCTCCACCTCCCTCCCAGCAAAGCAAGACATGCGCCCATCTTTGCAGGTAACAGTTCCTAGTGTAGCGATGTCTGGGCTACTAGGACAGTCTATCCCTGGGCCCAGTAGAAAAAGTTCAATGACCATCGTGCAGTCAGAAGTCTGACTCATCCCTAGCTCACCAACATGACTACATAGGTTGATACAAGGTAGTGAATTTAAGTTTTCTTCTGAACTTACTTGAAAAATTCAGTCTTTTCATCTTCACTCTTTAATGTCAAGCTTTTCAAGAAATTCACAACTTCTAGAAAATCATTTCTAAATGCAAAAAAAAAAAAAAAAAGAGCAGAAGAGATAAATACAATGGAGCAAACCTAGAAGAACCTAATGTCAAAAAATTCTAGTACCTTCTGCAAGAGTACATAAAAGGAACTGCACATGCTAGTGTACTTTAGGGCTTCATCAGTGATCACACTTTTCCAAAATTTTCACTGCAACAGGACACTGGTCAATGATCTATCTGGAGAGAAATGGCATCACTATTTCAAAGACGCTGATTCCTAACTCTCCTCTGGTGAAGTGAAAACACTAAAGAGGACCTAGAAAATGGAATTTCTATAGGAATCATTTTTCTGACTTTTCACCTAAGCAAGGCCAGTTTCTGAACAGTCCAGACGGTTCCAAACCTGTAGACTGCTCTGTTCCAAGAGAGCATGGCCCCCATCCCACCACATGAAGTGCCGTGCAGCACTTAAGCACACAGGCTGGGTAGCTTACACGGCAGGGCAGGCGCTACCTTCGCTTCCCCGTTAACACCCACACGTGATCATTGGACAACTCATCGCGGGGGCACTGACTTCCATCACTTTCTTCACCTAAAAATTCAGGTAACTTTTAACTTCCCCCAAACTTAATTTCCATTAGCCTGGTGTTGACCAGGTGCTTTAATGAGAACAGTCTACTGACACATACTTTTTGATGGTGGATGAAATAAAACACAGTGGAAAATACACAGAAACTCAAGAAACAGCTTTGTACTGCATAAGCCCTTTTCTGCCTTGTGGAGATGATTCATATCACATGCTGTTTCAGGATGATCCCTGCAACACCAGCAATATGTACTCCAGCATTTTTTTTTTTTTTTGCAATTATGGTTTAATACTACATCTTTATATCTGCTTTCATTTCTCACTGCAAGTGGTAGCACGTATGGTCTATAAATTATGTGCTCATATACTTTAACTTCTTTTAAGAGACAAGTTGTTTATATTTCATGGCCCTAAATGAGAAATAGATCACCTACATTTGTTTTATGTGTCCATCACAAATCTTTTTCTTCCTTTGATATTTCTAGGCTATAAAATTTGTCTTATTAGAGTTTCAAGTCTAAAAACAACAGAACAAAACAAAAACAAAAACTCAAAAACCTTTAAAGATTCATGTTAAATCTAAGTGGACCTGAGCACTCCAAACCCCTGATATTCAAGCGTCAGCAGTGGCTTCCCATTCCACTGCAGCCGAGCTAAAGCACAGTGTTTTGAACTGAATAAAACTGCCTAGGCTGTCCCACGGAGGGACGCTGGCCTGCTCATCCCGTTGCCCCTGGCAGTTTCCTCCCCATGCCACAGTGGGACATCTAAGGTGTCCGTTGGAGTGCACTGAATTTTTTTTCTTCCTTCTATACTAATACACATTTCTTAAAGAACTTGCATTACACATAGTGGCAACAATTTACTACAATGAATTATCTTTATAGAGACTGTTAAATCATGAGAAATAAAGTTTTTCTAAAAATCATCTACAAATGCATACAAATAATAGTAACACTGATAACTGTTGAAAGACTTGTGAACATAAATAGATACAATTGTTATTTGTCAATTTAAGAAGTTAATGGAGAGGGGAACCTGCTATGCTGGGGAAAGTTGAAACCATTTTCTCAGAAACAGAAGTGACGCCTCTAGCCCTGGCGACTACAGTGCTAACTCAATAACCCCGACACACGGTGCCTCCTTAGGGTGGCAGTGGCCTTCCTTTTTGCTCTGATTCCTTCCAAGCTCTCTAAGTAGAAACACATAAAGATATTGGTTTAAAAAACATCAGGTTAGCTTTGCTAATAAAATTCACAAACATGGGACTAACCTGGGTACAAGGTCTGTGGTTACAGAAATGAAAACCAAAAAATTCAAATTAACCTCAAAGGTTCCAGACCACCTGTGAACGCAGGAAATATTTACACACTGTGCTCTCCCTCTGACTGATCTCTACGCACTGTGAAACAAAGGGAACAGCATACTGCCAAGACAAGCACAAAGTTGGGACCCTCCCAACAAGAAAAATTCACAACACATACCTATAAAGGCAGCAAAAAGCTGAGGCCATGTTTATCTGCTTTCTCAAAGTAAGATAGAACTGTAAACTATTTGTCACAGACTAGTTTCTTTATAATCAAAATTCCTAAAGTATCTGGATATATGTCCTTCATGACAGCTAAGAATTTTTAAAACTTTCTGTGACAGGATTCAGAGAGGTGGTGTTCCCTCCACCCCCACCCCCAAATGTCACATGACGACCTCACCTGAAGAACTCATGGGACAGTAAGGTGCTGAGTGCTGGCCGACACTCTGGCATGGGGTTCAGCAGAGCTGAGTGCAAAGTCTGTAGGAAGCTGGAGAGAACATCCGCTGAAACTGAAATCCAGAGCTACAGTTAGTTCCAGTGCCTCCTCTCTCTTTTCGGACCTCTCTAGCTGGAGACTAATGAGAGCAAAAACCAACCTGTAAAAGCCCAAGCAAACAGAGGCCTGGCTATTGCTACATGACTTGTGCTCGTTGAGGCCAGATGCCTTGGCAGTTATACAAAGCTGTCTTGCCGGCAGGCACAGCTCACACTACCCCAGGCGCCTCCCCTGCGTCCTCCCATTTCCTGGTTGTTAACCCACCTCTGATCAAAAATGATGGCTCAAAAGAGAGTAGGTTTGAAGGTTCTGTTTGGGAAGGCCCTGCTCAACACAGCTGAAGGAATGGCTACATTTTCAATTCTACACATCTGCCACCATTATAGGTGCATGGGAGAGTAGCTTAAACAAAGTAAAAACCAACAATGCTTTGGGGCCGTAGTGTTTAATTCTCAAACATTTGGGAGGGACGATTAAAGCTGACAGCCAAAAGGTCCTTCTAATACCAGAACTCGGCAGATCCTGGCAGAAGCTATACTGGCACCGCACAATGTGCCAGCAGAATGAGGCATGCCACTGAAGGACCTACGTGGCACACACCTCAGTAACTGTCACAGGTGCAGAGCTAATGTCCTAGAGTCTCTCCCAGGAGAGCAGCTCCGCTGCCAAGCATGCAATGAGAGAACACCGAAGGGAGCAGAGTGTCTTTAAGTAGCCTGGGCTTTAAGAGGGCACGCAATAAAAACAGTTAGTAAACTAGAATAGCAATAATTAATGGCTTTGAAAGAAAATTTAAGCCTGATTTTGAAATTAATTTAACAGAAACACTGGAGCCTTATTCTACTATCCAGGTTATTACGTGTCTGCCACTAAGGCATGAATTCACAAGACAACTCAATAATGGAGTCAGAAGATAGTCACACATGACTGGAACAGCCACTGTTCACAGTGCTTCCTACTTAAAATTCTTTCTATTACTCATACTTACAGAGCCCCGAGCTTCTCCCCTTCCTGCTGCCGCTGTTTGCCTAAGTGAACTGTGTATTAAGCAGCAGGCTCCCCACTACACCAACGACGGTAGCCCTGGGATTTCCAGGCAGAGCCAGTCGGATGCCTTTCCTCCTCAGTGTGCGTGCCGCAGTGCAGCGCCAACTCACCCTGCTCGTTCAGGACTGGGAGCAAGCTGTCCACCAACGTTCCAAAGGAATAGGCGTCCCGGGCGTGGCCACAGGACTCTGGAAGGGCTGCAAATTCTGGAGACTAAATGCAGGAAAGACTATTAGAATTAGAGGACCTGCTTTCTATGCCATCTCCAACGTTCTCCCATGGCTGCGTTTATTATACTTAAATCTAACTTCATGGTACCAGACTCCACAATCTTTAAGAACTGCTAGTTCACAGTATAGGACAAATAATGCAACTGTGTCAATTAAAATAGCATGTCTCTCTCAAAAAATGAAAAAAACTATTAGTTTTTCAACTATTAGTTGATGGAACTTATCAAAGACTTAAAAATATATATGAACAGAAAAAAAATTGGAATACAATATATATAATGTATATTACATATGCACACAATGAAAACAAAAGTTCATAAAACAATGTTTTTCCTTATAACCTGGGATGCCAAGTGTTATTTTATTTTTCAACTTTTTCAAAATGTTGATCAACTGTCTTAAAATCCATAAATCACCAGTTTTAAAGTCCCCCTAGTGTAAATATATAAAACAGATTCGGCTAAACCTGAGATTGCCAATCTTAGTTTCTAGCTACGCTTGCATTTCCTATACAACATACTAACATTGTCTCCGGAGGCTGGTGTTTATTTTAGGGCTTGTGAAGGGCAGCATTCTGAATTTACTAGTAAATGTCTCTTTCCTCACCATGATATTAACAACCACTCCTCTATACGTCATGGAATTCCAGCTAGAAACTAGCTAGGAAGACAGGAGGCTGCGGTGATGAAAATGAAAGGACAAGGCCACTGCTTCCTCAATAATCAACGGATCCAGCAAAGGAACGAAGATTTATTGTGAAATAAACACCATCTCTTACCACACTGGGGCATCTCCATCTTTATACAAGCAAAAACTGTAAGCTGCTTCCCTAACTGTGAGAGTTAAATTTTCAAGGTCAGAGGCATCAAGAGGCATGTGTAATCTCGTAAGGAATGGGCAGAGAAATGGTAAGGGTCTTGTTCTTTTAAGTTTTACACTCTATTGCACAACAGATTCTGGGCCTCAGTTGCACTAAGGGGCCTTTACTCACCATCTCTTCAGGAGGAACAGATGCTGGGTCTCTGACTGACTGGATACTCCTGAGAAACTAGACAGAAAAATTAATTAAAACAACCAACTCATAAACATATCTGACAAATTAATCTCTTAGCTCAATTTACAAAAGCCATAAGCAGTGAAAGCAGAAGCCATAATGACATCTTTAACTTAGTGGCACACATTCAATACACAAGGTTAAAACCTTCCTAATTCATTGTGCATATAGTATCCAGCACAGCACAAGGCTTAGGAAAAGCCAAATGCCAGCTCTTCTTCCCATCAGCTGGTCTGAGAGGTACCCTTTGTTTCCTGCACAGATATCAGAAACTCAGAGGTGTTCTGGTCAGATGTGGCACATGCCTGTGGTGCCCACAAACAAGGAAGCTGAAACAATAAGGTTACTTGAGCTGTACGTTTAAGACTAGCCTGGAGGACAAAGCGACATCCTGTATTAAAAAGAAGAGCAAGCAAGCTAACTGTTCAGCACAGAACAAAGCTCTCTCACACATCTTACCACTAAATCATGGGACTCTTAAGTTTTGCTGTCAGAAGACATAAAAGCTGAGGCTCCTGTGGGTTGTACACATGATCAACACCGCAGAACAGGCACCTATTCACCTATTCAAAGATTATTTCTGAAAGGCTAACAGGATCACAGTGTCATTTAGGGCACGGGGAATATGAAATGAATGCAAAAGATCTCCTGTCCCCAAGCAGCGTTCAGAACCTGGAGAGGAGCTAACAATTCTGATAATTGTGCTGAGTGCCATGGACGCCTATGAGTAGTGCTTTCAGGAAGGGAAGGGCTCAGAGGCAGGACTTAGGCTCGGCCTTACAAGAGTTTCCACTTTCTGGGGGAAGGGAGCAGACAGTCCAGCAGCAGAAGCACATCAGAGAGCAGCAGCTCGGGACTGGGGTGCTAAACAGAGGAGAGGGAGGAAGGGCAGGTACTGTGAGGAGCTGTATGTGCATGGCAAAGCTTTATGCTATGGACGGTACACTAATTAGATGTGAGGTGAGGTCAGAAGAGAAAGTGTGCAACAGGGACAGAAATGAGAGAAAACCTGGCAGCACTGGATTGGGGTGCCAGCTCACGAAGGCGTCCGTTACTAAGCCTAAGTGTAGGAACAGCCTAAGAAGACAGACTGAGCCAATACATCCAAGAGAGAGCAGTGAAGAGGACTTCTCGGTCTTCCAGAGAGCCCAAGTTCAGTTCCCAGCACTCACATCATGTGACTCACAACTGCCTATAACACCAGGTGCAGGGGACCTGACATCCTCTTCTGGCCTCCCTGGCCACCTGCCTAGAGGTAGAACACCCACCCACCCCTCTTTTTATAAAGACAGTGAGCCGATACTTTCATAGAGACGTTATGAAGGGAGTAGTTTGTATTTCTTTTAGGAAAAGTACAAACGGTGAAAAGAAATAAACTAGAGAATAGAGCAGCTTGTCTATCAGGAGGGAAATGTAAGGACTTGTCACCCAATATTATAAGGAGTACCACAGCAGCCACAACTCAACCCACAAGTCCAGAGAACACAGTGTATTGACACTGTCCACACCTCAGACACTGTTCACTGACTACTTTCTGGCCTCCTAACAGACAGGTACTGTTCCCGGAGGACATATAAAAACGCTGCACTCAACTGCTGGAACAGAAGAGAGACACATAAAGCCGATCTCAGTAGTAAGCATTAGGCCTAAGTAAAAGGAGGCACAGGTACTTAAAGGAACAGAGAGGCAGGCGACTGGTTTAAATGTCTGAATAAGCCGTTTACCTTTCTGTCTTAGGCTCCTTACCTCCTATACGAGAAGGGAATACATGAACCTCAGCACTTTTTTGAGGAATAAACACTGTAATTTTCCAAACTTGGGCATTAACAAAAAGTTCAAGTCTTAGATCTGAAATAATGGTAACAGTGAAGGAAAGAACCCCATCTCAAGTCACCGCCATGTCCTCCCCGAGGAGGAGGGCTGCTGCCTGGCTCACCTCTGGTGTGGCCTGAGGAACCGTGCAAACTGTCTCCATGCCTCCAAGCTTCCAGTGCCCATCTTCACTCACAAAAACGGACGATAAGCAGACATTGTTGTGTGTCAGATGCCCCTGTGTGGACGGAAGACACAAAAACAGAACGGGAAGAAGATTGACACCCCAATATCTGAAGGCTTTTAAACAATTAAATACTGGTTGCCACAAAGAGATCAATGAGATCTTTTGCACCTGCAGCAATTGAAGCTGTGCTTAAAGAACAAAGCAGAGGTGGTTAAGCCAGAGCTGGAGCTTGTTGAGAAAAGACTGGCAGTAGTGTTGTGCCTGTTTGTTTTCGGAAGTTCTGCTCCATTTTAGATTTCAAAGAAAGAAATAACCACTGTAGCTATACTTAGATAAGGGCTAAAACTATCTAAGTAACTGCTCAAGGACAGACAACTACCTGCTGATTCCACAAACTCTCTGTGATCTCTCTTGTTCCTTCCAATTTCTTTCTCAGTTTCTCTGTATTCGTTTTATCTAAACGCCACCACCTAAATGGTCACTTCCATTCCTATCAACACCTGTGAGGAAGACTGTCAAGTAACTTACTCTGTCATGAAGGAAGATAAGAGCCAGCAATATGTCATAGATTCCAGCACAGACTTCTGCAGGAGACAGGGTTTCCAAGGCCACTTCCAGAGGCTGCACTCTCTCAGTGACGAGATGAATGCCATCTGCTTCCACAGTACAAGATAAAAATCTTAGCAAGCAAGGGTGACGAAGTGTCTTTAAGTGCTTGAAAATACAAATAGAAGAGTTGATGAAGTTAATGACTCAAACCAGAGGAACGGTTTTACACACACTGTAATAAAGGCCATGCTTTCACCGAAGGCCTTTTTACCTCTTTATGTTCCCCCAGATTTTAAGGAGGACAAAAGAGAATCTACAACTTGTTCTGACTTTATTCAACTTACCAATATTTAAATAACTCTACAGAGACTTCCTATTCCCTTATCAGCCTCCTGAGATCTCAGGCCTTCCAGCTATCACTGCCACGAAATCTGAATGAAATGTCAAAAACGATCTGAGAACTCCCAAAGCATACAGATCATGGAGCAGAGTCAAGCAGCTGTGAGAATGAAGCCCAGTTTTCTCTTCTTACAGTTAACTACACATTAACAGCAGGCCTCAGCTGTGAAGAAACATAGCAAGGGGCCAAAACAGCACCAAAAATCTCATTTTTCTGGCCAGAATCAGAAAAGAGCCCAGGAAAGGCAGAGTACTGAGGACATTTTCCCAGAGAGTAGAGAGTTGGGGGAGGAAAGGCCCCAATTCTCTACAAAACCACAAACCCCCAAACTCTGGAATCAGCAAGCAGGCTCAGGAAAGACCTAAACCAGAATGGCAAAGGTTTAAGAAAGGGACAAAAATGTGAACTGCCATTAATGAAAAATTGAGGTCCAAACAAACCTGAGGAAGGTTAACTGTCTACCAAATCAAGCCTATAAAGATCCTTTAGAATAGTGGTTCTCAACCTGTGGGTCGCAGGCACTTTCAGGGTCAAATGACCCTTTCACAGGGGTTACCTAAGACCATTAGAAAACACAGATATTTACATTACGTATTACATTCGTAATACATTACGATTCAGAACAGTAGCAAAATTACAGTTATGAAGTAGCAACACAAATAATTTTATGGTTGGGGTCATCACACCATGAAGAACATATTAAAGAGCCAAATATTAGGAAGGTTGAGAACCACTGCTTTGGAGAATTACGGCAGAATCAGTAATCTCTGCCACACCGCATTCAAAATATCCAGAATGTACTTCAAAATCTGTACTCAGCCTGAGAATGTGATCCATTTTTAACAGAAAATTACTGGAAATTAAAAATTCAAGGCGTGAGCTCATTAACTGCATGAATATGACATGGTATAGTCACGAAATCTGAAGACTTAACCAATCCAAAAAAACAGAACATTGGCTTTAATGATCAGAGCCAGAGGGACCTATGTGACAATAACAAAATGTCTATGCAGATAAAGAAGTTCCCAAAATAGAGGAAAATAGCGGCAAAGAGAAAGTGTAATTACTAAAAATATAAACTGGGCCCAAATCTCCAACTCACAAATTTAAGAACTTCAGTTAACATAGGGTGGAATAAACATTTCCGTTAAAAGGACATATGGCTTCTGGGGCCAAATTTTAAAAGTCCTTCAAAAACATTAAAAAAAAAAAAAAATCTTTCTTATCTTACCCTGGCCTGAACATTTGCTGAACTGTCACAGGGACATATCCATTCTTACCAAGCTTTCTTCTTTTCTTAACTTTTACCTATTTATCAAATATTTAATCCACTTAAACATTTTAACAGTTTTTTAAACATTTATTATCTAAACATGATTGCCATGCTTTTTTGATTACAGAGCTCACCAGTAAAAATGTGTTATCTGTTACATGCATGTCCACACTTAACACATACAGAATATTCAAAAAATTCAGGTATGGTGGCACATGCCTTTAATCAGCACTTGGGAGGCCAGGACAGATAGCATTTGGGAGTTTGAGGCTAGCCTGGTCTACACAGTGAATCCCAGGACATCTAGGGTTACATAGTAAACACCAAAGTATTAAAAGATAAGTGAATTTAAATAGATACCCCACTATTTTTTTTTTTTTGAACTACAATGAATTATGACTCACAAGTCTCTGAATACAAATACTTCATGTTTAGGAACCCGTAACATACAATATCCCCTTCCCTATCAGTTTTCTTAGCAGATAGACAATATGCACAAATTGATGACAAGGATGAGTCCATCTGGTTTGAATACATGGGTTAACATTATAGCAGTTCTTCCCCTTCTGGTTTGGAAAAATTAACCAAGATTTCAACTACAGCTCAGAGACAGAGTAAAGCAGCTAGGAACCCGAGGTCCAAATAAAGGGATTAGCTGCTTGCCGACAGGGCCTTATGACAGAACCATTATGGCTGTTCTGTTACAGCCTCATTAGCCCTGTATTATCTATTCCTAGTTCATGCTTCATATTATAAAAATCTTAATTTGAATCTCTTGGCTGATCTACAACCAAGCGCTGTGGAGACGGACAGTCCAAGGCCAGTCTCTTTCTACAGAGTGACTCCAAGCCAGACTCTGCCTCAATAAAAACAAACTAAAATAAATAAAACTAAAACAAATAAAAACACAAAACAGCAAAAAGGGAAACTCATTACTCCAAACAAACATACAAACAAAAAGTGAACAAAATTTCATTTAACTAGTAATTACAAACTACTTGCTTGGGATCATGCAAAGAGAACAACAGCCAAGACTCCCAAGGAGCCAAAGTGTCTGCCAGTAAGTTGATTAGAGTTTGGTTAACTGGAGCAAATTTCTTACAAGTATATTTTAAACTATAGTTTCTGTGTAAAATTATGTGTCTGCCTTCATACTTCCATTTTAAAAATTATTTCAAATAGTTTTCAAACTGAACATAAAATATTTCACTTTTGTCTTTTCAAGAAATATTCTTCATTCCACTTCTATGCCTTAGGGTTGTAATGAACTTCCTCTCACCTTTAACTTTTTACATTTACTTCTTTGTGTACGTGTGTGGTGTGGATGGCGGTCAGAGGACAGCTTACAGGAGTGGGCTCTCTCCTCCAACCATCTGGGTCCTGGGTCTTGAACTCAGCCGCGGCAGCGAGCACCTCTACCTGCTGAGCCATACGGCCGGCCAGCCCTCCTCTCATCTTTGTGTTCTCTTTTTCCTTCTACTACTCAGGAAACACCTAGTTCAATGCCGACGGGAAATTACAAAGCAACTAAGTAGTCACCTGATTCAGGTAAACTTCAGTTTTGTCCCCTGCCCCATACATGCACAGAAAAACTCTTCGGAACTTCATAAAGTTAACTGGCTCTATGTTCTTTTCTATAGCTCACATACAACCATATATTTTTAGACAGAAGACCACAACTCTATGCTGTGACACAAATATGACAGGATAACCAAGATGGCCTAACTATTTCTTCTTCCTTAGAGATATGAATCTAGGACATACATGCAGATATGCTGCTTTTAAATCTGAGGGTTTAAGAAACTGGATCACAAACTAAGGAAAAAATGCAGAAAAGCAAGGAAGCCTTCTGCTTTTGAGACAGTGGGGTAGCAGTGGCATCCAGGCTCTGGTAATGGCCAGGGAGGTGGAAATGCAGGTCAGAGTTCAGACAGTAAGTCTGGGCAGATAGTAAGTGCAGGCATAGACTGGTTTGGGATACACTCCCACCGAGAGCAGTAATTATGGGCTATCTGCAAGGTCTCAGCTGGGACTAACAGGTGCCTCACAGTGCCAAAAAGAGCAGTTAAGAATAGCTCTGCAGCTCGGCTGGAGGCCAGTGGTCTCTGGGAATCCTTTTTATGCATAAGCTTGTGGTTAGTATGAAGCCTACCTGCATCTGGACTGCAGCAAATTACAGGACTCAAGCACATGTCATTTCCTACAGGCTATAGACTAGAACCGAACTTGAATCCCACTTAGAAGATAATGCTATTAGTTACAGTTGGTGAATTTAAGATAAAATGTGGTCTGAGAGACCTAGCTACTTTTTAAATCATTTAAATCTTTGACAGACCACATAGCTACATTTCTTCTTTCAGAGGCCAACAGTGTAGTATGATGGTTATTTTTTTATAATAGTAGAGGAAGAGTATAATCATTTCCTAATAATAATTGAGGCTCTCTGAGATAGGTTCAGGAACCCATGCTGCAGAAACAGGGGCTGCTAACTACAGTTGCTTTAGTATTTACATAGATAGACATTACATCCCTAAAGCCAGCATGTTATATGCCGTATCACAACCAGTTCCTGAAACTTAAAGACATCTATCCTGATAGTACCAACTCCTTCGTATTTTGTTGTCATTCCACATTTCTGTACTGTCTGGAGGTTTTCCAAGCTCAGTATGGCTGAAGAGACAAGTATGGGCTATCTGCAAGGTCCCAGCTAGGACTTAAGAGGGCATCTGTGGATATGAAGGTGGGGGAATTCTTTACTCTTAAGCTTTAAAATTCCTACAGCACAAAAATCCTCATCACAAACAGCACATCTTTGGGATTTTTCCTTTAAAAAAGTTTATGAGCTGGGTTACACAAAAAAATAAGAATGAAATATTTTTTTTAAATGCTGTGACATCACAATATTTCAGGGCAAGAAAGATAATATAAAATTTCTAAAATACTTTATTTTCAAGCATATCAACACACCAATTAAAATATCAATGATAAGCAGCATTTTTGTTCAACTAGATTAATCACACCTTTCTTACATTAGGCACATGAAATCACCTGCCTACCTTTCTCATTAAAAGCAGTTATTCAAAACCATCACGATGAGTTTTGTGAGGGTCTATGGCTGTAGAGATGGAACATCAGAGGCAGGACAACTGTTTTTATATAACATCAAGTCATAAACTACTACTGCCTGTGACCACATCTCCCTTGACCTTTATGAAGTTCATTTCAGGGGAAACCTATTAAGACTCCCCTAGCACAGTACCTTGGCAGCTTTGTTAACCTTGTCTGCGTTTTCTCTCTTACAGACAAACACAGACACACACTTCCCATCTTGCAGCACGGCGGGATAAACAGCGAGTCCAGAGGGTAAGGTGAACGGTGATTCTCGCAGCGTGTAGCTCTTTAAAGCGCTGCTCTCTGATCCCATCCCTTCTGCGGCGAGCTGGCACTGCAGTTCCCCCTCAAATCCAAACAGATCTGAAAACCAAGGAGAAACAAACGTAAATGATAAATCTCTATCTGCAATTTAGGCCAGGCTGGCTAGGTCGAGGTACCCGAAGAGGACATTCAAACTTCCTCATTCCTGCAGTGCTCACAAATGCATCTGATATACAGACGGCCAACGAACAGCCAGTTATCAGGAATGCCTGTTAATTAGCAACTAACAACTCCGGAGAAAATGGGTTACCGAACAGTCTTTCCCCAAACCCAATCACACACAAATTTCTATAAAGCTCGTAAAACGTTTCAGTTAAAATAAGTAGTCTTTGGATAGATACAAATCCAGTAATTGTGACACAAATCCCTCGACTTGGATTTTCCTTCCACTTGAGGAGCCACAGAATAATTTATCTATGTAATGCTGCTGAACTACATGCCTACCACATTGAATTGTGTGCATCAATGCAATCATATTACTACACGAGGAACAAAAAAAAAGTATGAAGGTGAAAAGCTGTAGAAAATTATAGTTTTTCAAGATCTAAGAATATATGAAGGTAAACACAAATTCTGCTCAAATGCAGTGAGCTCAAATTCTCTTTCTTAAGAATAACTGGGCTTGTGCACTGCCAAGTCCCAGGGGACGCATCTGCAACACATTTCCTGCACCTCAGGCTTAGGGATCATGAAGAAAGAGAGGGTTTGGAAAAGCCAGAGGAAAGGGAAGTTTGCTGTGAGACTATCTTCCAGAAAGTCACAGCGACTTTATTCATACAGTCTTACTAAAACAGCTGCCTAAATAGGACCCAAACAAAGAGGACACCTATGGACATGCTAACACGAATGGGTGAGATTTCACACAACCTCCACCCTAGCCAAAGAACTACAGGTAGGTGTGTATTTTGTTTATTGTGTCACACACACCCCAATTAAAAAAAGAGACAGACCATGAATTTGAGAGAACTGTGGGGAGGGAGTGTATGAGGAGGGGGTGCATGAGAAGGGTTAAAAGGAGGAAAGGGAAAGAGAAGAAAGATATAATTATGTACAATTTCAAAAATTAAAAATACTATACAAAAATGAAGTGACACTAAGAACAATACTAAAAAATCAACAGCCTTAGTTACAAGAAATATCCACTTTTTACTGGAAGAGCAGATGAAAGCACTTCATGCAGGGTAATGAGGAGAAGCTCTGCTTATCTGGGGTGCAGCGGCGCCTGATCAGTGAGGGCCTTCCTCGTGCTTCCTGGCCAAAGAGCAGTCAACCCACAGACTAACTATCTGGAGCATCCATGAATGGAATGAAGGGACAGACTGGTCGGATCACCGTCTCCGCTACGAATTTGAATAGGCCAAGGTTTTTCTCTATCTCTAGTAGCACATCTGAAGCTGGAGGCTCCATGAGGTGAACCTGGGGCTATGGCAAAGGAAGGCTACATGGGAGCAAACACTTGGCAGGCACCAAAAAAGTGAGTGGTCAGTGGGAGAGCGACAGGCATGGGCCGGAGAACGGCTGCTTTACAGGAGCACACTTCCACCCCGGACCTGTCTCAAGCCTGTAGGATGAGCAGCTGGTCTCAAATCCAGTTTTTCCACTGCCTCATTGACTAACCCTCTGGAGTCTGCAGCCTACACTCTCTGAAATCAACTCACATTTCTACTTGAACCCCTGCGTGAAAAAACAATGCGATAGCCATGAGTTAGGGAAGGGTTATTTTGAAAAGTCTGTGAAGCTAGCCTGCTGCATTCTTGGTTCACTACAAAATAAAACTCTTCAAAGTTAACAAGCAAGAAAGGAAGCACAGAGCTACAAGCAGATGAGAGTCTTCTTGGCCAAAATCACACTATTTAGCTTCATAGTTAGTCCTGAAAAGATACTGTGGTCACCAAGATTCATGAGCTGTGCTGGCAGAGGCAAGGGCAATGGATATTTAACTGACTGATTTCCAGTAGCAGGGCATGCCCAGTTGGAATATTGGGTCTTAGAATCAACTAACCTTTACTTCAATGTTACATAAACAGATGATAATACCTACAGACTTCCAAAAATATAAGGTGTTAAAACTAGTCATTTTCCACAGCTGTGTACTGCCTAGGACCCTGAGAAAAATCACTTTAACAGGGAGAGGACTCAATTTCTACTGAAGAAAATGGAATATCTTGTACAGAGTTCTATGCCCAATGCAGTAGGGAAAGGGTGCTGATGACTGGATTTGAGAATCCCCTAAAACTGTCGCTCTGATTCTTCCCACTGTACCTAAGAGGCAGGAACGCTGCTGACATAAACAGTACTTTTACAACTTAGAACAGAAAGGAACTTACTGAAATGCAAGATACAAAAACACTCCGAGGTCCAAATATTCATTCTTGGTTTGGGGAGTAAGGAGGAAAACGGGAAATAGGGCCAGGTAGCTTTGAAAGTCACGCGAAGGGAGCAAAGGATATTCTAATACAGCATGGACATTTTACACCCCTGATGCTCGCTATAATGAAACGTCGAGTCGACAGTCGTGGATGTGAATATACATCATGACTGTCTTTAAAAAGAAAATCATTTCCTCCAGCCTTTTTCTTTCTTTGGCTTCAGGTGAACCTTCTGAAGGGACCATTCTTGCCTACGTTCTCAACCACAAACTCCGTGTCCTCTGAGAGAAATATGTGCCCCTTCATTCTTCACCCAGCAATTAATAGTCTCCTGGTTCTAATTCCCTTAGCTCTAAAGTACCAAAGCTGAAGACTTGCCCCGAGAATTCTAAGGATATTTATTCACTGGCACTTTGATGCTGGGTGACAAACATTACTAGCAGCCCCGTGTGGTCTGTTGCAGCCACGTACACTCCCTGTCAAGAACTCAACCTCACCGTGCTAGCTGACAAGCAAAACATGTAGCCTCTCTGGACTAAAAGCACTCCTCCGTCTGACCTCCGCGCAGGACAAACAGCAGTCCCTCAAACCAGCCATAAGACTGGTCCCCAAATTCAGCAGAAACGACCTCGGCAGACGTGTGTTATGTTTATTTTACGCATGAAGCCCCGGGGGTGCTGGAGCTGTCTGGGACTCTGCACCGCGGGGCCTTCCCGCTGGAGTCCAGGCCCGGGCATCTTCTCCCTCCACTGGCCTCGCCGCGGCTGGCGGGGCTCACTCGAGACGCCAGGCGGAGGGGCACCCCAACAAGCCAAAGCAGCTGGCGCCCAACTGGCCGCGCCAGGGTGTCCCGAGAGCGGCGGCCCCGCGCCCGCACCCTCCCTGCCCCGCCGCCCAGGCCGCTGGGCCGCCGGTTACCTGCGGGCGGTGGGCGGAGGCTGGCGGCTCCGCTCCCTCCTCGCCCGTGGCTGGCTCCCGCAGTCAGGCCGCGGCCCCTCCGCCCACACTCTCCGCGGAGCCCGCGCAGGCCGCACAAGGACCCGAAAGCGGGTCGACAGCCCGGCCTTCCGTTCCTCTGACGCCACCAGCGAGGCGCGCGAACCCGGAACCGAGCCGCCGCGGCCGTGCAGGTGATGCTCCGGTCGTGTCGCCTTGAGGTGTGGGCGCCGGGGAAGCCTGCGCCTCACGCCGGCTCCCAGGAACCCACTCTGGCTGCAGGGAAATCTCCCTGCGCGCGTCTGCAGCCTGACTGCACAGGTATCCTGGTTCTAATGTTTGGGTTTTTTAACCGGCCACTTTTGAGCTCATTTCCGCCCGAATCCAAAATGGCCACCTCTGGCGTCAGACGAGTACTCCAGTAAAGGGGGCGGGGCAAAAGGAGAGGCGTTTGAAGCTGAGCCAGAACTTCCCCCAGTAGCAAGTCCTGGCCACCCTGATTGGCCGAGCTACCTGGTGAGGTGTTTGGGGGTTTTTTGTTTTGTTTTTTGTAAACTACTAGTGAAGTTGTCAGAAACCATGATGAGTCATGCTTAAGACATAAGGTTTCAGATAGAAAAACCTGGAATCATAATTCAGCGGGAGTAAAATTAGAAAGCATATCACTCCTCAAGACAGAAGAGGAGGGGAAGGGAGGGGAAGAAAGAGAAGGGGAGAAAAGGAGAATGGAGGGTAGGGGAGGAAAGGAGAAGAGGAAAGAGGACGAGGAGAAAAAGGCGATGGCCATACACATGCTTATTAACAGCTCCAATATCTTCTGACTTCTCCTTTTCCTTGCTTGTTCATCTTTGGTGTAACCGCCTGAGAACAAATGATCACCCCGTTTGCGTGTGGTGGTCATTGGTCATAGGTTTGTGGAAATAGCAGGGTCTCTTGACAGCAGCACAAAAGAGTCCCTGCTCTGGACTGAGAATAAGCCAAAGACAAAAGGGGTTTGAACCTAAAGCTTGAAAGGCCTGTGACAGACCTGTTGAAATGATTGATCCTCATAGCCACAGGATGGCTCACCAAAGAGCGGTGGCAGCCACTGCTACTTTAATGAAAGAAAGCAAACAAGCTAACTCGGGGTCAAGATCTTATACTCACAGCACCCCACAATATTGTTGAGGCCCTTCTCTGAACACTGGCTAATGACTGAGTGACCCAGTTCCAGGTCCTACTCTTGGCTTACCCTTGAACCAGATTTGAGAAACCTACCACCATCAGTTCTACTACCCTCTTGTCTGGTGACAAGCCACAGGTGCTCATCTGAAATAAAAGATGAAACCAGGTACATGGGAGTGGCAATAGTTACTTTAATCAAAATGATCTGGGCCCAAGCCGGGCACCTCAAGCCCAGAGAGCAGAAATGATTGATCTGACCCAGGCTCTCAGATGGGGAAAGAAAAGCCCACCACCATATGCATGGACTGTCTTTTGTGTGTTTTTACTACTGGGTATGTTCGTGCTATGTCCATAGAGAAAGGGGCTTCTAATTGCTGGAAAAAGGATTTTAAAAAATCTTGGCCCTCCTGCAGACTATTTGGCTTCCCCTACAAATTGCTGGCCTCCACTGCTGGGCTTCTGACCTGGATGCCCAACAAACAGCCCCAAGGCCAGAGGGTCCTGTTCATATTCTGATGACACACATGACCTGGTACTGCCTGAGAGTCCATGAAAAAGAAAAAAAATGGAGCGAGACAGTGAGCCCAGCAGAGACAATGAAGCCAGTGGAGGTGAGCTAGGCACTCAACCCAAGCCCCACTGTCTCTCATCTGGAGGAGGCCTGTGGGGTACCTGAGCAGCTCTGAGCTTGGAGGTCTTTCTGCTCACTCTTTCAGCTGCATGGCGTACCTGGGACACAGCCAGTGAACCCAGTGGAGGGACCATTATCAGGCTGGCGAACAGCAGAGACAACCAGTTGGTTAGAGGCCAACATAAGAATACAAGCAACAAAACTTGTGGCATTACCAGAAACCAGCAGTACTATCACAGCAAGCTCTGGAGATACTATCACACCTGAAGGACAAGAAAAAGATTTTAAATCTGAGGCTATGAAAATGATAGAAGCATTAAAGGAAGAAAATAAAGCTCTCAAGGTAGCACAGGAAAATACATTCAAACTGATGAAAGAATTGAACAAATCCCTTAAAGAAATACAGGAAACTACAATCAAACAGGAGAAGGAAATGAATAAAACTGTTCAAGACCTAAAAATGGGGGGGGGGGGAGAACTAAAAATGGAACTAGAAACAATAAAGAAAACACAATCTGAGACAATCCTGGAGATGGCAAACCTTGGGAAGTGGACAGGAACTACAGACACAAGCATCACCAACAGAATAGAAGAGAGGAAAGAGAATCTCATGGGTAGACAATAAGATTGAAGAAATTGATATATCAGTCAAAGAATATGTTAAATCTTAAAAGCTCCCAACACAGAACATCTAAGAGATCTGGGACACTATGAAAAGAGTAAACTTAAGAATAATAAGAATAGAAGAAGGAGAAGACTCCTAGCTCCAAGGCCCAGAAAATATTTTTGCCAAAATCAGAAGAAAGCTTCCCCAACCTGAAGAAAGAGAGGCCTATAAATATACAAGAAGCTTTCAGAACACCAAACAGACTGGGCCAGAAAAGAAAATCACCCCACCACATAATAATCAAAGCATTTAATGTGCAGAACAAAGAGGGAATATTAAAAGCTGCAAGGGGAAAAGGCCAAGTCACATATAACCTATCAGAATTACACCTGACTTCTCAAAAACTCTAAAAGCCAGAAGGACCTGGACAGATATCTTACAGATAGTAAGAGACCACAGATGTCAGCCACTACTACTACACCCAGCAAATCTTTTAATCACCATAGAGGGAGAAAACAAGATATTCCACAACAAAAACAAATTTAAACCTAACATATCTACAGAACACCAAACAAAAGAGAATATACCCTCTCAGCACCTTACAGAAACTTCTCCAAAATTGACTCTGTACTTGGTCACAAAGCAAGCATCAGCAGATATAAAAAGATTAAAATAACCCCATGGATCTTATCAAACCACCATGGATTAAAGCTGGAACTTAACAATAGAAAGCCTACAAATTCATGGAAACTGAACAGCTCGGTACTCAATGATCACTGGGTCAGGGAAGAAAGAAAGACTTCCTAGAATTCAATGAAAATGAGGCCACAACATAACTAAACTTATGGGACATAATGAGAGCATGCTAAAAGGAAAGTTCATAGCACTAAGTGCCTTCATAAAGAAATTAGAGAGATCCCATGCTAATAACTTAGCAGCATACCTGAAAGCTCCAGAACAGAAGGAAGCAGACACACTGAAGAGGAATAGATGACAGAAAATAATCAAACTCAGGGCTGAAATCAATAAATTGGAAACAAAGAGAACGATACAAAGAATCAATGAAACCAAGAGCTGGTTCTTTGAGAAAATCAACAAGAGACAAATCCTTAGTCAAACTAACTAAAAAGTGGATGGAGAGTATCCAAATTAACAAAATCAGAAATGAAAAGGGGACATAACAACAGATTCTGTGGAAATAAAAAAAAATCATTAGGCTTTACTTCAAAAGCCTATATTCCAAAAAAAATTGGAAAATCTAAAGGAAATGGATAGGTTTTTCTGGATAGATTTCAGCTGCCAAAGCTAAAGCAAGACCAGGTAAACAGTTTAAACAGTCCTATAACTTCTAAGGAAACAGAAGCAGTCATCAAAACCCCCCCCCCAAAAAAAAATCTAGGTCCAGATTGTTTTAGCACAAAATTATACCAGACATTCAAAGAAGACCTAATACTCATATTCCTCAAACTATTCCACAAAATAGAAATTGAAGGAACACTGCCAAATTCATTCTATGAAGACCCCTTGATACCTAAACTACACAAAAACTCAACACAGATAATTTCAGACCATTTTCACTCATGAACATCGATGCAAAAATAGTCAATACTTATAAACCGAATCCAAGAACACATCAAATACATCATCCACCATGATCAAGTTGGCTTCATCCCAAGCATGTGGGGATGGTTCAACATACAAAAATCCATCATCATAAGCCACCATATAAACAAACTCAAAGAAAAAAATTACATGATCATCTCATTAAGTGAAGAAAAAGCCTTTGAGAAAATCTAACATTCCTTCATGATGAAAGTCTTAGAGAGATCAGGGATACAAGGCCCATATCTAAACATAATAAAGGCTATGTACAGCAAGCTGATTGCCAAGATCAAAGTAAATGGAGAGAAACTCAAAAAGCAATTCCACTTAAATCAGAGACAAGGCTGCCCACTCTCTCCATACCTCTTCAATATAGTACTTGAAGTTCTAGCTTCAGCAATAAGACAACTAAAGGAGATCAAGGGCATACAAATTGGGAAGGAGGAAGTCAAAGTATCACTATTTGCTGAAGATATGATAGTATATGTAAGTGACCCCAAAAATTTCACCAGAGAACTTGTACAGCTGATAAACAGTGTCAGCAAAGTGGCTGGATACAAGATTAATAAAAAAAAAAAATCCATAGCCCTCCTGTACACAAACAACAAATGGACTGAGATAGAAGTTAGGGAAACTACACCCATCACAATAGCTACAAATAATATTAAGTATCTTGGTGTAACTCTTACCAAGCAAGTAAAAGACCTGTGTGACAGGAACTTCAAGTCTCTGAAGAAAGAAATTGAAGTTATCAGAAAATGGAAAGATGACCCATGCTCATGGATTGGTAGGATTAATGTAGTAAAAATGGCCATTTTTCCAAAGGCAATCTACAGATTCAATGCAATAGGCATCAAAATACCAACATAGTTTTTTAGAGACCTTTAGAGACAATTCTAAACTTCACATGGAAAAACCAAAAAAAACCCAAAAATAGCTAAAACAATCATATATAATAAAATAACTTCTGGAGGTATCATCATCCCTGACTTCAAACTATACTACAGAGCAATAGTAATAAAAACTTCATGGTACTGGCATAGACATAATTTTACCTTAAGACCCAGCTATACCTCTCCTGGGTATATACCCAAAAGACTTTCCACCATACAACAAGGGTATTTGCTCAACTATGTTTATAGCAGCTTTATTCATAATAGCCAGAAACTAGAAACACCCTAGATGTCCCTCAGTTGAAGAATGAATAAAGAAACACATTTACACAATGGAATACTACTCAGCTATTAAAAACAAAGAAATCATGAAATTTGCAGGCAAATGGATGGAACTAGGAAAGATGATCTTGATTGAGGAAACCCATACCCAGAAAGATACACCTGGTATGTACTCACTTTGAAGTTGATTTT